GATTGGCGAACCACTAACAAGCTTTCCTCAAGCTGACTTTCGCAATACACCCGTCAATAGGCTGTCTGCTTGGCAACACTCGCAACGACTAAGGAGACACTTTTGGACCAGATGGCATAAGGAATACTTGAATGAGCTCAACACTCGTAATAAATGGAAAAATGCAGATGAAAATATAAGTATTGGTACTCTAGTTGTACTAAAAGATGATAACACTGCACCGTTGCATTGGGTTCTCGGAAGAGTTATTGAAATTCATCCTGGCCAAGATGGAGTTCTCCGGGTCGTAACAGTTAAAACAGAAGCTGGTACTTACAAGCGAAGTGTAAGGCGCGTTTGCCCTTTACCAAATGAACAAAGTCTTGAAAACTCTGAATTGTAATGAGTTAGTCAAGAAATATTGCATACATATAAGGTATTGCTATTATTTAAGTAATGTATTTAAACACTCCATTCAATTAATATTTAAATTTTGTATAGTATTAATTATATAGTGTTATATTATTTACTGTTTTTTGTTTACGTCTTTTGTTTTGAACTTATATCGTTCAAAAGAGGCCAGCGTGTTACGATCGTTGAAAATATAACTCTCTTCACTGTAAAGTAATATAAACATAAAATTTCAGAATTTGAAATCTTAATCTTTCAAATTTTACAACTCTTTCAAAAAGATGAATTTTTACAATTTGTTATCTTAAGAAAGGTCTGGACCGTAATTTCCTCCGTTGAATAAAATCAATATTTTTAAGGATTCGAGATTATGGTAGGAAATAACTGTTGTAAAATGTGCCCTTCGTTTACCTAGGATTAAGTCATAAAACTATGCTGTGCGACGATCTTCCGTCTTACCTAGACATATGCCTCTTACCCCAGACAAATTTGGAAAACCTTTAAATTGACCACTCCTCTTGTCATGTTAAAAGTATCCGCCTTTCGAAATATTCATCCCTTCTCCAATTTGATTTTCCTCCACCGATGCTCAACGAAAAACCATCAGAAACTATTTGTACTTCGAAATAGAGACATCGTTTTTATTTTTATATCTCCGCAATTTTGTAAAACTTTATAATTTTGATATTTAAATATATGTATTAATTAATGATGTTCTATATTTAATGAGTTTCTCCCATTCAATTAAATTGACATAATTTTAGTCATTTTTAATTATTAAATTTATCATCAAGTCAAAACAGACTTGGTGCCTAACAGGGGGGGGGGTAAAATGGGTAAACCCAAAATTTAATACCAAGAGTGTCGACTGAAAGATATATATTTTCACAAGAAAGCTACTTACATTTTTGTAGAGATGCACTCTTCAAACACCCGAATTGGCCAATTTATACGTGACTCATACACTATACTATTCTCACAGAATAATCGACAAATAATTTTAGAAAATTGAAAACATATCTACGTATCGACGTTCGATCCAAAAGTGATCATGATGTGACTTGTTGTTTTGACGCCGGTGTCGCATGCGTCGTTACCATGACAACGCCAGGATCGTACATCGATAATCAATTAGGAGTTTAATAAAATATCTATAAAATAACAATAAAGTTTATCAACACTTGTTAAATTTTTACGAATAAGGAGACGCGAAAATACTTCCTGTTACAATTTTTTTAAATTCTAGTCCTCCATATTGGATTCGCCAGTTTGAATTTATTTATTATGACCTCGAATTCGTAATTAGCGACCCTAAAAACTCCCGAGAAAAAAGTTTCAAACGATGTTATTAGTTTTTTTATTTTTCTCCCGACATATTGGGTCCGACATCTTAAATTTTGTAATTATGAGTTCAGATTCGTAATCAGTGACCTTAAAAACATAAAGATAATATATTTTCAGTAATTTTAGATACAAATAGTAAGAGTATTTAAAGTTTAAAAACGAAAAAATTTTAACTAATGTTACTAATGGCACTCGACCCTGGCGGATTCGATTTACCTAAAATCGACCCAGCTGGGTCGAATCTAAGTCGAATCTAAGTCGAATTTAGGTAATTATCAAAAAGAAGCTTTAAATTGATGAAAATTTATAAAAATTAGTATTGTGAGGTTAAATGAACATTCATAGAGTTAATTTTTGTAAGAATTTTAATTATTAACGTGATAAATAATAAATAATTACTTGATATGTGCAAGTGGTAACTGTAGATTTTAACTCGTTGTCAGTTTTCATAATATTTTCAGAAATTAGTGTAAAATGTGTGAAAAAATAATTTATATTTAATAGAAATTGCAAATTTTATTAAATTATTTTATTATTTAACAATCACATTTCATAATAATTGCAATTTAATTAAAAAATAACAGTTTTCTTAAAAGTGACAAGAACTCTATTATACCGACCACACACGGTAAAAGTGCGCGAATATGAATGCACATGATCTTCTGGCGGGAAAATTCAAATTGTTAATTACAACTATTTCATTATTATCTTAATTTCATTAATTAAATATATTTGATTAACCATAAAAGATAATCATTTTATAAAAATTTTCTCAGAAATGCCGAATTAATCATTTATTTATACCAATTTACTTATATTAATACTAATAATCACTATTTCTTTACTTTTAACTATCGCCCTATATTAGTTGCAGACGCCGTTAGATGGCAGCAGCATGCAGGGAGCACAAATTTCCAGCTATCCTATTACTTAAAATTAGTGATTATTAGCATTAGTATAAATAAATGATTAATTTTTTTATAACTTGTATTAAAAAACAATTTCATTAAAGAATTGTGAATATGAAATAAAAAATCTGCAACTTTTTTTTTTAAAAAAAAGAATTTTGTTAAAAAAAATGTAATTGTTAAATAAGTTTTAATGTAAATTTTTCTTATTTTTATGTCTAAAAAATTATATTTTTGTTAAAAAATTATGATGGCAAAATACAAATTTAACTAAATTTTTTGATCTTTTATTTAAGAATTTTTTAAAAAGTTATAAGTAAAAGTTTAAGAAAAATATATCAGCTTAATTTTTATTATTTTAACAAAATTCTAAAGTTTTTTTTATAAATAAAGAAAAAAATTGCATATTTTCTATTTAATGAATGTTTAAAATTTGTAACTCTTTTCAAATCTTGGCGCGCGTTCCGCTGTTCCGTGTGTGGTCGGTAAAATAGAGTTCTTGTCACTTTTAAGAAAACTGTTATTTTATAATTAAATTGCAATTATTATGAAATGTGATTGTTAAATAATAAAATAATTTAATAAAATTTGCAATTTCTATTAAATATAAATTATTTTTTCACACATTTTACACTAATTTCTGAAAATATTATGAAAACTGACAACGAGTTAAAATCTACAGTTACCACTTGCACATATCAAGTAATTATTTATTATTTATCACGTTAATAATTAAAATTCTTACAAAAATTAACTCTATGAATGTTCATTTAACCTCACAATACTAATTTTTATAAATTTTCATCAATTTAAAGCTTCTTTTTGATAATTACCTAAATTCGACTTAGATTCGACCCAGCTGGGTCGATTTTAGGTAAATCGAATCCGCCAGGGGACATTCGATTCTGAATAAAAAAAAACTAAAATTTGAACCCTATATCTTTGTCCTTGATTAAAACTGCGAGTGCACAAATCCATTTGCCTTTTCGTATGGAATGACCCATAACTCTGAATTAATAGCTGGATTTTCTCTTTTTCTCTGAACATGTACATGTGTCAGGTCCTACCATCTTAAACTCTTATAAAAAAAATATGGAATTCTTTATTTTATTTAACATCCAATTTTTGTTTTACAACATTCAACCTTTTTTATCAAAAAAAATTTTGTTAATTTTCGTGATAACAAAAAATTCAACTCTTACAAAAATTTTCTCTAAAATAAACTTGATTTTATTCATTTAATCAAATGATAAATTTTGTATCATGTGTAGTTAGTAAATGACTAAAGCGAAAGTGGGAGAGGTGGGGAGACCGCAGCATATATGCCATGCCGCCCGGCTAAACAGATAACCTCCAACGCCATTCTCTTTATTTTAGACATTTTCAAGCTCCACTCTATTTATCATTTATTAATATCATAAAGATACTGACCTTCTAAACTTTGAGATTCTATTTTCGCCAAGGACGCTTTAATTTTCACGAGTACTAGAAGCATGCCTTGGGCCCATAACCTGTGAGATGTTTGTTGATGGAATAAAACCCCTTTTGTTCACTTTGAACTCTAAACCACTTTATTTATATTTATACTCTATTTTAATTTAGAAATAATCTAAATCAGTAACTCTTATATCTATTTTATAACGAAAAATATATTTGATGCACACATGCGATGAACGCGGTAAGCATCAATCTGAACATAGCCTCCAGGGCGTAATCGAGAGTCGACAACGGTCGACACATATCGATATAAAACAATGGCGTCCGCGCCATATATCGACAATGTTTAAATATGAGTTCTTTCAAAATATTCTTATCGTTACAAAAAATCCCAAGCAGCACGGTATATCCCCTGAATATCCCTTGAATACCACCGTGGAATATTCCCATGATCTTCCAGGAAAATCAAAATGTTCGCATCATGGGAATATTCCACAGTGACATTCAGGGTATATTCCAGTGATATTGAGGGAATATTCCACGGTTATATTGAATTTTTTTTTAAATGTTGAAATAATAGAAATGTGTTATAAATTGTTATTTGAATAAGCAGGAAGATTAGAAACACATTTTGAAAAAAATTCAATGTAACCGTGGAATATTCCCTCAATATCACTGGAATATTTCCAGAATATCACCTGAATATCCCCTTAATGTCACTGGAATATTCCATGAATGTCACTGTGGAATATTCCCATGATGCGGACATTTTGATTTTCTTAGAAGATTATGAGAATATTCCACTGTGGTACTCAAGGGATATTCAGGGAATTTACCGTGCTGCTTGGGATGTTGAGATTAGTTTATACGTAAATGTCTCCAAGAATATTATATTTTTTAATTCTTTTTTTTTTATTTCAGACTGCAATTCAAAGATTAAAAAATTCAAAGAAAATGATGTATCAGTTGTTAACTTAGATTTAGATGTTACATCAGTCACAAATAATATTGAATCAGAATTTTCAGCAGAAGAAGTAAGTTATGTTATGTTATGTTTAAAGACAGGTTTGTTTTTTGATGATACTCCTGCTACCCGTACCGATAATTATCTACAGTACTGTATATTAAACTGATCAAGTTTTATTAATAAAACATTAATAGGTTATTGCAGAACCCTCAGTAGAAACTTTACGAAATGCAATTAAAGATTTAGAAGAACCGGTTTTATTTCGTAACTTATTACGAAAATGCAATGGAGAAAATGTCTGGGATATTCTTAAATGGGATATGGAAACACTATCCGAGAAGATTGGAGAGAAAATATTACCTTTTAGATCAGGATATAAAGCAAGAACTACGGTAAGAATTTCATCTAGTAATTTTTTTTGGAAATCATCTAGAGGTTAAGATTAATAAACATAATAAACTTAATGTCTTCACAGTCTAGTATAAAGAACGACATTTTTGTTCCTCTAAATTCTGATTTGTGATAAATATATTTTAAAAATTTCGGTCATAATTCTTGATACGTTTTTATTTATTAAAACACGGAAAGTGGGAAATAAATTTTGCCAAACTTATCTAATAGAATAACGAAAAAATTCAATAAGAATGAATTGAATATATGAAATTACATAAAATTGTATTTTTGTAAAAATAGGAGCAAATCAAACTGTCAAATAGAAGTGAATGATACAATTATCTGTTTAGTAATTTCATAGTAGAGTATTTTAATTTTTAGAATTAAGTAACAAATATATGAATAATATTTCAGAAACCACAGTGGGAAGTAAAAAATCGTGTTGAATGGATGACAATGAAAGCATTTATGAACAAGAAGGATTCTTGTAACTGGTATTATTTCGACTACAAATATATGCACGATTGGTGTAAAGATTGCCCTGAAATTTTAAATTCTCTTAGTTGGAATACCTTTGGTTTCAATTTAAGTGGCGAAGATTCTACAATTTGGATTGGCAATGAAGGCGCTCATACAAATTGTCATCAAGATTCCTACGGATGTAATTTAGTAGCTCAAATACATGGACAGTTAGTAAACATATTCAATATTATTATTATTTATTACGCACTGCACTATGGGCCAGGAGACCGAGTTGGTTGGAAAAAAGTCAAGATTTATATTTGAAAGTGCCTGAAAATTGTTCCTCGGGATTTTTCGGGGTCGCTGATTACGAAGACGATGTCACTTTTTCAAAATTCAAAATATCTGATCTAATATGGTGGATGACATATTTTAAAATTGATTAGATTTGCTTATAACCTGCTGCATAGTGGTTTTTGAAGTCGCTCAAAATGACGGATCTAATATGATGAACGTTATTTTTAAAAGTACAACGAATTCGCTTGAAACTTGTTACTCGGGGGTTTTTGGAGTCGTTGATGATGAATTTGATATTCGTTCATTATGGCCGTTTAAATATTCAAAGAATTATTTTATTTTCATCTAAATTTGTTTTTAGATTTTTTTACTGTTTACGAAAATATTATTAAAAAATGAATGTTTTTTTGTTTATTTTACCTGCAATTAGCTTGTTGTTATGTTTTAATGCTGCATTTATTTCAGCAACTTCTCGACGTAACAAAGTGCTTGACCCCCCCCCCCTCCCCCAAAAAATGATACGTAATTTTTGAACGCTCCCATACAGTGCACTGTATGGACAAAAGCAACTATTTGGTAGAACATTACTTAAAAACCACTGTCAAATTGCAAGTGTAAATTTCTTTTTCACCTCAATTGACTATGTCTTTCGTTGAGCAACTTTACACTGTAATTTGATAATTTGTTTACAGAAAAGAATGGATTCTCTTCCCTCCGGAAGCTACAGAAAACCTTCGACCAAGGAGAGTGCCTTACGAGGAATCGACTGTTTACAGTTCAATAAATCTTTATTCACCATCTCTGGAAGAAGAAAACCAGATTAAAAATATTTCTGGTGTAAGGATAGTCACCTTACAGCCGGGAGAGGTTTTATTTATTCCAAAAGGCTGGTGGCATTATGTAGAATCTTTAAATTTGAGTGTCAGTATTAATGTTTGGTTGCCTCTAGAAACAGACTGTAAAGCCAGACTTGAAGAGTCATTGGTGAAATTGATGATAAATGAAATTGGAACAAATATTCCTACTACATCAGAAACTGAGAAATGTTCTATTTTTGAGTCCATCAGTTTTGTAAGTTTAAATCGTCTGGTATTTTTATTCTTTGTCAATTTATATCTAAAAAGTACGGATTCATAGATGACGACCTTTGAATCCATACGAAAAATATGATTTTAAAAATTATAAAATAAAATTAAAACTAAATTATTTACGTTTCAGATAAGAAGATCTCTTGAAGAATGTAATAAACAGAAAATAAAGAAAGTTTCAGCGAGAAGCAACGATCAAGCAGTTTGGACAACGACGACTTTAACGAATGCATATTCCTCCTTTGTATTTTTAGTGCGACATTTGAACTCAACAGAATTACAGCATTGTTTATCATTAAAGAGAAATCGATTTTCAACATGTATTGATAATGCAAATGATTATTCCATTAAACAAAATGAACTTGGCCTTTCGAATCAGCTATTATTTGAAAAAATTGTTAACGCTTTTTGCAATCCAGAGGCAATTAAAAAGGTGGCTGATACTTTACTAAATGAGGACTCTTTTAGTTAGTAAATAGCTTTTTCCCTACTAGTATATTAACATTAATAACAATGTATTTTTATTATAAATAAATTAAATTGTACATTTTTGTATTTAAATAAATTAAATAAGTTTTAACTTTTTAACAAATTAAATGATTTACTTCTAATTGTATGGAAATACTAGATTATTGAACAAACCTTCCTAAGAACACCATTTGAAAAATTGGTAGGTTTTTACGAAACTTGGTACCTAAGGGTTTTTGGGGTCGCTGATTGACAATCTGAAGTCAGATTTTCAAGAATTAGTATAGCGGACATATTTTTTAAAAATTGTTAAATTTTTTTGAAATTTGGTACACTAAAGCGTCAATCGAGAACACGTCAGTCTTCTTCTTCTTCTTTTTGTTTAAACGGCCTCTTGTAGAAACAAATAGCAAGTACTAAATAATATTTCGGTAAATATACGTAGTTGCGTAGAGATGATTCATCCAAACAGAATAGTTATATAGCAAGGTTGTTGCTCAATAGGAAAGCTGTTGACTGTATAATATCAGGTTGTCCAGTAGGTTAGTAACTCATCCGCCGTTATAGGCAGTTACTGTATTGCAGCACTTCTGTATGAGAGGATACAGAACTGCGCGGGAAATTTGAATTGAAAGGAGAAATTCAATTTTATGGGGTCAAATTGTGCTATTAAAAAAAGAAAAAACTGCATAACTACTAATAAATCAAAATTAACAGCTTAATTAAAAATTTAAAGAGTAATTTTATTTTCTTTAAAATTTAACAATTTATGTATAAATGTATGTATGTTTCTGTTTTTAATAAAAATCTTTGCCTCTTTCTTCCGCTCTCCCTCGTACCACCCTCTATTAATTTCTCCTCTTTATATTTCTCTCTTTACTTTCATTATTTATCCATTTATTTCCATCCCCCCTTCCCTCTCACATCTTATTTACTTATTGCTCTCCCTTACTCCCACCCTCCCTCTAGGTTATTAACTTTAATTTAACATGATTAAGATTGTGAAAGTTATAGTCGAACTGAAAGTAAATAAAAGTTAGTTAAAATATACTATTAAATGGAACCATTAACTTGGGCGAAAAACTTCCCAAATTCATTAGTGGAATTTAAGTCAGGATTAAATATTAAATCATCTAAAACAAAATTATCAGGATTGAAGTGAGTAAGTCTCTGATTTAAAAATGAAAAAAAAGCTGGTCTGCCTTGAGAGAGACGTGGGCAGAAGCTCAAAAGATGATGGAGATCTTTAAATTCAATACCGCATTCACAGCCCAAGGAGAGCGTCCATCCCAGTCTAGCAAAATGTTCGCCAGTACGTATAGGTGACGATCTCAGTCTATTAATGATATTAATATATTTCCTAGGGGCATCGATGCTCTGAAACAAGGCCGTGTAGACTTATAATTCACCCTATTAAAATACTGATTACGTACGTAACGATTATCGGAAAAAGGCCAGAGGTAACTCTGCCATTGAATATAATCTCTTTTCACGATCTTGAAGAGACCCCCAGGAGGAGTCCCTAAAAAGTTGCCATAAGTATAGTTAAGGGAGTTTTTGGCACATCTATCCGCTTTTTCATTTCCTTTGATCCCTATGTGGGCTGGAATCCATAAAAAACGCACACAACATCCCCTATTAGTAAGATCAGTTATGGTTTTGATAATTTTAACAATTAAAGGGTGAGGATTCGGATTACTAAAGCAATCACGAATGGCACACAAAGAACTACGAGAATCTGTTACTATAAGGGTATTGTCAAAGTTACTTCTCGAAGCCTGTTTTAAGGCGGATAAAATTGCGTAATGCTCACAGGAATCACTAGACATCAAATCGCTGAGTCTGACTCTAAATTCCATGGTAATAAGAGGAATGACAAAACTTGAGCCAGATCGGTTATAAATAGGATCGTGTGATCCATCCGTAAAAATTCTAACATAATCCCGAAACCTAAAATGACACAATTCCTCAAACACAGAGTTCGATCAGTTATGGTTTTGATAATTTTAACAATCAAAGGGTGAGGATTCGGATTACTAAAGCAATCACGAATGGCACACAAAGAACTACGAGAATCTGTTACTATAAGGGTATTGTCAAAGTTACTTCTCGAAGCCTGTTTTAAGGCGGATAAAATTGCGTAATGCTCACAGGAATCACTAGACATCAAATCGCTGAGTCTGACTCTAAATTCCATGGTAATAAGAGGAATGACAAAACTTGAGCCAGATCGGTTATAAATAGGATCGTGTGATCCATCCGTAAAAATTCTAACATAATCCCGAAACCTAAAATGACACAATTCCTCAAACACAGAGTTCGAGTCAATAGCACCTCTAAGTTCACAACCAGAATCCAAGTCGATCAAGAGCGGTTTAGTGAGCTCGTCCCAGGTAAGGTCGAAAGTAGAGGGTTTCTTTCGGCGACCACACTTACTGAGAATCTTAGAGATGTCTCTGTATGAATTGAGCAACGAAGATTTGAGTAGAAGTTTCTTTTCGCGTCTACGTGCCGGAGCTTCCGATCTCTCGCGCAATAATTTCAATTTAGGTATAAGAGGATTAGTAGACCATGAAAAATTTCTAATCAAATGATTCCTACTCAGAAATGCTCTTCTAAGAGATAAAGGAGGCTCGTCTGTTTCTGATAATAAAATACTAGTAGAAGTAGATCTCATACAGCCAAGGATAACCCTTAATGCCGCAAACTGAATTCTATCTAATATAGCCAAATTGGTCTTACTGGCTAAGCCAAAAAATTGACAACCCCACTCTAAATGTGATCTTATTAGACCCCTATACACCATGAGCATAGAGAGAGGGTTAGCTCCCCATGAAATTTTAGCCATTGCTCTTAAAATATTGATCGCATTCGTTGCTTTGAGTGCAATTTCTTTAACATCCCTGTTCGAAGTCAGACGTCGATCCAGATGTATACCTAGATAGATAAAATCCTCCTGAAGATCAATCCTAACCTCTCTCATCATAATATGTGCATTCAAGAACTTATTATTAGACTTCGAAAAAACAGCTAATTGAGATTTACCAGGAGCAATAGAGAGACCTATATTAAATAGCCAAGGGGTCAAAGCTTCAATTGTGTCACTCAAAATCCCGATTGCCTTCGAGACATCCTTCGATCTAACATATAAAAGTAAGTCGTCAGCGTACTTGATGTAGTATCACAGTAAAGATTTTACTCACTGCTAAGTTAAAGAGTAAAGGAGATAAGACACCCCCTTGGGGAACTCCCACTCCCGATACTTTAAATTCATCACTATCAGGAGAAAAGAACAAGTTTTTGGAAGAAACTATAAAGGAAACAAAGTTAGTGATTCTAAAAGGAACATGCAGTTCATGAAGCCTATCATAAATAGCCTTTGGAAGGACATTGCTGAACGCTCCCTTTAAGTCAACCGCAAGCGCCAAAGTATGCTCCCTCCTCAGAAATCCCTGTTGGATGTCCGTAACGAACAATGATACGCAATCATTAGTAGAGCGACCCTTTCTGAAACCGTACTGGAATATTGGAATTCCATTTGCTGATTCAACGAAGTGCTCCAGTCTTTTAAGGATCATGCGTTCAAAAAGTTTACATACTACGGACGTAAGCGATATTAGACGGTATCCTTTACCGTTGGGTTTGGGAATGAATACCACTCTGATATTCTTCCATTCATTAGGATAAGAAACATTAACAAAAAAGGTATTAAACAGGCTTAATAAAAGTTTGCGAGCGGATAACGGTAGTTTTTTTAGTATGGAGTTTGTAATGGAATCCATTCCGGGAGAACCATCTTTTTTGTTGCTCGATAAATCGAAAGAAACTCCTTCACTGAGAAACGACCATTAAGAGGATCATCATTATTTCCCTCAGTCAGAAGTGGGAGTCGGACAGGAGGGAGATGTTCCTGGACAAGATCTTTCTAAAGATTAAGAAAAACCTCAGAATTAGGATCATTCCCAATGTTTGTCCGAAGAGGTTGAGAGGCAGTGACAAATGCCTTAACTTTGGACCAAATTTGTCTCGAGCCCATTGAGGGATTAATCGAATCACAAAAATCTACAAAGGATTTCTTTTTTTTGTCACGTAAAAATCATTTGACCTCGTTGTCAACCTCTCTAAACCTAGACCTCATTTCATCCGATTGATTCAACAGAAATGCCTTTCTAGCTTCCCGCCTGCGGTTCAGCGCCCCCTCATACTCTTGGTCCCACCAAAGAGGTTTGGATTTCCTTTTGCCTGGAAAAGCAGAGAAGGCATTCCCTAATGGAATTCAAGAATTCATTATAAATTTCACTAGATCTTTCCGGTACCTCCAGTTTATGAGTTAATACTTCTACTCGGGGTTCTATAAGATCTGACAACGTAGACCAATCAACTTTATTAATGTTAAATCTCTTTGTATTAGATTTCTGCAGTTTGGGAGAAATATCAAAAGAGGTCCAAGTTACCTCCTATTTTACCCTCACTGTTAATGAATGTGGGATCGCAATCATTGAGCGGGACCAGATCAGCGTCTCCAATTGCATCACCCAAATGTATCCCCCTTTGATTATTAAAATTAGACCCCCACTCCAAGAGTGAGCATTAAAGTCACCACGAAGAATGACTCGATCCTCTGGATTAAAACAATTAATGAGATCAGACCAGATTTGAGGAGGAACTCGTATACCTGGAGGAGCATAAGTAGCAAGAATCTGGATTCTTCCCCACACAGTCCACATATCCAGAAAGAGTCTCAGGAATAGTCATTGGCGTAACAACATATCCCTTTATAACAAGAATCACAACACCATCACGATTCTGATGATTACCCCTGTCCTTCCTAAATGTTAAATAACCCGGCAATTGCCAAACTGAGGTTCGAGTTGTTAACCAAGTTTCAGCAATTGCAAGAAAGTCTAAATCTTGAGTTAATAACATAGACTCAATCTCAGATCTTTTATTCAAGACACTATGGGCATTCCAATTACCGAATCTGATAAGTTTAGACCTGGTAGGCATGATTAACCAAATAATATATAGTTGATATAATTTAATAATTCTAAAGTCAACCCGAAAAAACGACTGTGTATACAAGCCAAACTCCAAAACGAGAGAGCAAAACAAAGAAAACGAGGCAGAAAAAAAATAAGAATTGGAAACAAAAATATTAATAATTAAAATTAAGAATAACAATGTAATAGAAAGAGCAAGGCAGGATAATAAACAAATCCAAAGCCCTCCTTCAAACGATACCGATTTCAAAATTAAAGCCTAAGCGAATATCAAATTTGATCGTTGTTACAAAAGCAATTGCCTTTGAATTGCAATCTACAAGGAATCGGGCTATATATGCTGATTAAAATATAAATCAGTCAGACTCAGGTTTGAGCCAAAATAATTAGAACTAAAATGAGCAACAAAAACGAAAAAAAGAAAATTTTTTTTTCCTTTTTCCTTCTCTTTTTTTAACTTATAAGATAAATAATTAAGTAAAGTTCAATTCCACTAACATTGAAAAATCCTTCCTAGGATCCATTTCCATCAACCTCATCCGTAGCGTGACCAAGATCATTACGAGTACAGACAGACAAGTTGTCCTGCAGAGCAGAAATAATTGCAGAATGTGATTGGTTAAGATCAATCAGAGCATTTACAACCTGTAGCCTGTCAGTGATTTGTTGATCATGAAGCGCCATGGAAATTTCAATCATACGATCAGGAGCGCGAGGTTTATTTTGATAGGAAACATTTAAAGGAGTAGAAGTTCCTGTTTCCTGCGTGGAGAACGGCAACTGTTGATTTCCCCGCGAATTATGCGGAGATGGGGAAATTTCATCCCTTGATTGCAGATTATTTACCAGGTCTGGATTTTCGGCATAAAAGGCTAATTTGGCCTCATCTCTATTACAATTGGAGGTATAACGATGCTTACGTATCCCGAATTCCATCTTAAATATTGTACACTTAGTAGATGAAGCGATGTGATTCCGTTTACAATTTTTGCACAAAGGAGAGAGGTGACCATTAGGACAAACATTGGTAAGATGTTGACCAGCGCAGAATTCACAAGAAGGATATGCTGATCTGCACTGATTTGCCACATGACAAAATCTTTGACAACGATAACATCTACGAGGGCGTTGAATGATTGGAGTAATTTGGATCGTAAAACCGCCTAATTGAATGTTTCTAGGAACCGTAGGACCATTAAAGGTAAATTCGACACGATCTAAAATGTTGTTGCGATCGTCTACCAGCCTCTTAATATTAGTAATATTCGCCAGATCATTAACCTCACATATTCTGATAATGTCTCTAATAGACCTAGAAGAAGGGAAGACGGTAGTGAATCCCTTCTTTCTGAGGAAAGATTCCGGAATAAAAACTTTGAAACCAGCAAGAATAAGGTCCTTAGAAGTCACAAGAGCATTGGCACTTTGCCAATCTATAACACTAACAGGATCCAGTTTACCAACGTTCATACCCCTACGAGTACTTTCCATGAGAACTAAATAAGGCGAAGGACTAAAATCATTGTAAAAAGGAGTGACCGAATCACTATGCCACTCTAAATCCTCCTGATCCCACAAGACAGGTCCAGGAGGGATAAAATTGTCCGGAACATCATCCCCTAAATCAGAAAGAAGATTCGAGCTCGTGGTCTGCGGTTCAGATTGGGGAGCTTCATTTGCTCGCTTAGGCACATAATCAAATGAACCTGCGGAAGTATTTGCAGAGTTTGAATCGTAGGACCCCTGGAGATTATTCCTCTTCCTCTTAGCACCTAAAGGAACCATTGGCGTGGGCATATTGCCCCCGCGGAGGCCTGCATTAGAGAATGAGGAGCCACCAGTAAGAAAATCAGGGCCCGGTTTCAGAGCACCCCCACCCGACAGATGTTGAATCTCAAGTTCCGAAGTAACTGAATTATTCTGTTGATCATCTTCACAAACAGTAGATTGAGATGACGGCAACTCCCCTTGGTGATTCGAGAGATGTTCATTCATTGAGTGAGATCTAAAAAAAATTATTTATTAAAAACTGTATCTTGAGTAATGTATAAAAGCTTTGTTTTAATTTCAAATCAGAGGATAATGTTTAGCAAAAACAAGCACAATTTTAATATAAAAGAATAAGCGCAATTGAAAGAAAAGAGAAAAAAAGCAAGAAAGGAAGATAGCAAGGCACCCAAGCAAGTACACATACACATATAAACGTGTACATATGCATACACACGCGCCCACAAATCACCTCCCCCTCTCGTTTCCTCTATTACTTAAAGAAAAAGACAGAGAGAAAGAAATAATAGAAAAAAAAATGTTACCTGAGTCCGACTGCAAACTCACACTTATTTACTTAGCATTGAATAAAGAGAAAAATAAAAAAAATCACTCTTCAACTAATCTAACACGTGTAAAATCACTTGATATTTGTTTGAAAAAAAAGAAAAAACATACAATATAAAATTCGAAGTAAATTTAGAATTTATAATTGAGCAAAGCAAATAAAAAGGATAAGGGAGTAATTGGCAAAGCACAGGAAAAAAAAGGATAGCAGAGTGCAATAATTCACTTCAAAAATCCTCCTAAGCATAAAGCACATCCATGTCAAATGTTTGTGTGATATAAAAAGTTCAGCTTTTACCTTGAGAATTTGTAGATCATAGAAAAATTCTACTTTAATCTAATTATAGTGGACAAGCTGCATTGTTGTTACGATCACAAATGAACTCCTGATGAATTGAAGGAAATAGAGCACTCAAATTTTGAGGTTAGGTTTCCTGATCCTTATATTCCTGGATGTATTCCACGCCGATTTAATCAATAAAACGAAACAAATTCCACTGCCCACCACAGCATCGAAGATTCATAAATGGAATTTTCAAAGTGATTAAACGCAACGGTATAGTTAGAGATGAAAAGATTTTAGGTTAGGTTGGCACGTGATAGCACATTTCTCGAGCTATAGAAAAGATTAAACTTTTGAGAAATGTTTAAAGAACTGATTTATTTTAATATAAAATGTCAAAGTAATTTTTAATTTTGTGTAAAATGTACTTCGATGTGAATGGATACAAAACCAACAGTTATATTATGAACAAAACGTTGCGCTTTTAGATTGCGCAGAAAAAGTAACACAGATTTACGTATAAGAACAAAAACACAACCGATCATGACAACGTCCCAGAGCGGAATCCGAACACGTCTGTCGAAAACAGAGCTTGGGAACACTTGAGAGGAAGTGGGGAAACGAGTAGAATTTAGGTTATGACTGACGCCAGTGTCGTACTTGTGATTTTTAAATTTAAGGTGTATTCAGTGCCTTACTAGTGAAAATCCCCTAGATAAAATTCACATTGTTGCGTAAGGCTCTTCATACGGCCCTGAGTGTTTTTATTTTCGAGCGATAAAAATCGCGTCAATCGAGAACAGCACTACACATTCGTCTGTTCTCGATTGACGTTTTAGTGTATCTACGAATTTTTGGAGTTGTTGAGTCCGAAGCTATATTTAAATTTTTTTTATCAATTATTAAATTCTGAACTCAGAAAGCTTTTCACCCGGCCGCGTGTAATGTGGAGAAAATTTTAATTAATATATTCGAAATAATAAAAACTCCTGTTTAAACGATTAGAGTAGTTTTATTTATTTTATAACAAAGTTGTAGTTTTAAGAAGTATTTTAAATATAATTTCTTTTCGTTACAATTTCTTATTATAAATTCATTTTTCATTATTTTAGTTCGTTTATTGTAAGAGTAACTTGCTTATACTGTTGGTCGACGCAATTATGTGTATATTTTATTTCCTTCATTTTAAAAAATATATAATTTATTCCGTATTTACCTTCTCGTCACTGAATGTAAAATGTATTTGTTAAATCAAAAATAAAACCTCGTAAAAAATGCAAAAGAAGTTAGGGGTACTTGAAATTTGTACTTTTGTAGTTACATTATATTTTATGAAATAATAAAACAATTGTTTATTAATAAAGTAATTATTAAAGATTTATTTCATACAAATTAGAATATAATAACTTACTAATATATTACACAATCGCATACTGCTCATATAATAATTCTCTTACTTTGTAATATTCATCACAAAGGCATCCTTCTAAAATAACTTTACCAGCTTCATGCTGAAATGTTAAAATTCGAATTATTAAATAACATATTTGACTCACTTAAAATTCAGCAAAAGTTCAATTAAAATGAAAAACCATTATTATACACGGAAAAAATAAATTCGTGAATCATTAAGAGACTAGTCTGTCACTTTGAGAAAGGACACTTTTGCCGTAGAATTTTAGTTAACATTCTTCAATAACTTAAAAACATCGTTGAAATATTGAAAACGAATCATAGAATTTTTAGAATTCAGTATGTAATCAGTTACTTTTGTTTTATTGTAAAACTATTAGGAATAGATGTTTGAAAGGTACTTAATATTTATTAAATGTCATTTAAACTTTCAAATATTTTTAACTGAATTCTTTAAAAGTAAAGAATTTATGGAATTGTACTTCGCGTCTCTTCCTTCACATTACTTATTGTAGTACCCGCCTCAGTGCTCTTAATGTTACAAGTTTTAAAGTATTATGATTTTTTAAAAAATACCCTCGCTTGTTTGTCATTTGCAACTACATTCCGATTGTTTATAGTGATCTTCATTCCTTTTCTTGTGCTCAAGAAGTGTCACACGAAAATTTTTAAAAAATGGAAAAACATTCAAATAATGTCGAAAAATCAAGTAATAAAATAAAGAAGTTAAAGGAAAAATTAAGAAGAAAAGAAGAATTTCATCGTATCAAACGAAGTAAGTTGAATCAATATTTTGAATCAGTTAAAAAGAAAGAAAAATTCTAACAATGTGAGAGTGGATTATTTTCTTTTATATACTAATAAGCAACAAGATTCATAAACAAAACAAAATATATATATAAAAAAAATTACATTATTTTTATTGCTAATGAGTTTTCTCTGCATTTAATTTGGAACAAGTTTCCTACAGAAAACAATGTTTTCATTTTCATAATTTTCGGAAATAGGACAAGATTCTAAAATGATCACTCTTTTCAGGATACAACAAATCATTAGATGAAAATTCATCAATTCGAAGTTCATCATATTCTCAAATTTCTAGACACAGAAATTGACGATCACAAAGTCGTCGTAAGGATTTTTTACGCAGTCCCTCTCCAAATCATTCTGAATACAGATCTCGCAGTCGGACAACATATGATAAACGTAATAAAAGGCATTCGAAACATTATACTCGATACCACTCCTTGAGTCGATCTACAAGTAGATCATATAATGGTTCTCGAAAGTATAGAAGTCGTTCTCGTTCTCCTCCAAAATTAGATCTTATCACACCTCCAGAAGGAAAAAAGAATCCTTTAGAAGAAAAGAATGATCTTTCAGAAAAGAAAACTGATTAGTTTCTGATGATCAAAAAGGAACACCAATCCATGACGACATTATGATTCGCTGGACTGATATTTTGAAAAAAGGACTGTCTAAAGAACAAATAAATGAAGTATTTCAAAAGTATCCAATTTCTGAAAACTGTAATCTGTTTGAACCACCGAAAGTCAACGCTGAAATAAAAAATTCACTTCTGGAACCTTTATTTAAAAGGATCGGAAAATTTAAAGAAAAACAGAAAAAGGTGTCAGCGTGTTTGTCCGCGTCAGGCAATTTATTGACAAAATTGTCAAAAAATGAAGAAATAGATAAATTATCAATTATTTCAACCCTAAGGGATATTATGCGATTTTTAGTGGATCTTTAACGAGATGAAACCTTGACAAGGCGTTTAATCATTATCTCTCATTTAAACCCATCTATGAAAGAAATCTTAAATGATACTAAAACAGACGAGAGGTTATTTAGTAAAGATCTAGGAGAAACATTAAAAAATGATTAATTATTTGAAAAATCATCAAAAGATTTGAAATATACAAAAAAAACCCCAATTAAGGATTGTCGCTGGACTTTTAAGATAATAATAGAAAGTTATCAAATTTTGACAGTTTGTTCATTAGATCAATTTAGGAGGTCATGATTTTTTTCAAAATTTTTTTACCACGTAGTTTTTTAGAAAAAAATTTTAAAAAATTTTAATAAAATTTGAGATTTTGATAATTTTTAACCACTAAGATTCGTAACTCATGCATGCTAAAAACTATTGCGCAGCTGTATAGGTTAAAGTAAACTATTGCGCAGCCTTTGAAGTTTTTAATTTTTAGTAAAGAAAAAAAATTAACATGTGCAAGAACATGAACGTCTTCATGTACAAGTACTTATACATGAAATTGTACAAGATCATGTACATTTTCTTGTACAAGATCTTGCACCAGATCTTGTACAAGATGTCACACATGAACATGTTCCAAATTCGTATGCATTTTCCTGTACAGGAACTGGTCAGAAATTGTACAAGTTTAGTTGCTGATCCTGTACAGGAAATTGTACAAGATCTTGTACAGGGATTTTCAGTAGGGATATATAACGCCTGGCTACTGAAATTTTCCCATTGCGTCCAATCTAGGGTCCACAATTCTTATTAAGGGGTTATACCTAGTCACGATTTTCAAAAATTCGAAATTTTTTTTGCAGTTTCTTAAAGTATATATATTTGACTGTTGTGAAAATTTTTTTATTAAGATTCGAGGAATATTTTCGAAGTTACAGACATAATTAGCAAGGAGGTGCCATGCGGTGTAGAGCAGGTAAGGCATCGGTAACTCCTATAGAAATCTGATTTTTTTGTCCCGTATATTATATTCTACCTTAAAATTTTCGTATATCTGAGTATATCTTCAAGAGGCATTCGTTCCCTTGCCTTACAATATCACATATTTATTATATCACACATTTATTACAAACTCAATGTAAACTGTTTGTGAAACTTTAAACTCGTTTTTCTCAAAATTACGTTTTTTAAGTCGGTGACCACAATATCTAAAAAAACCGCTAAACCGATTTGGCTCTTTTAACACAATCTCAACAACTACATTTTGTTGTCGTTGATCGAACGTTTTTTTAAATAAAATTAAAATTATTAATTTAATTAACAATTTAAGACGATTTTTTTTCATGAAAATGAAACTTTTTTTTAAGAAGCTGCCATTTTGTGGAAAAGTGATATTTTCTTAATTCCTTCGATCAACGACAACATTTTCTCATAAAGTAATAGAATCTATTTTATTTTTTGAGTTCAGATGACTCTCTCAAAAGTTATTCTGGTCACCGCGAGACAGATTTTTTTTTTAGGATTCTTGGGAGATCGCAAAGGACAGAAAAAATAATATGAAAAAAGGGTGATGGAAATAAGACAAAAATCTGAGACTTGGTATATAGGAAAAAAGTGCCAAAAACTTGAAAATAGCAAAGTATCAAGAAGATTCAAACGTAACATACGGAAAGAAGTAATCACTATTTTCAGAAAAAAGGAGTATACTTTAACCATTAAAAATCGATTTCTTATTTGTAACGCAACTTTACTTCATTTTTATTTATCAGAACTTACATGGTATAATTTCAAATCATTTCAAAAAAATGAAAAATGATAGGTTAACTTGCAGACTTGTCACACAGTGTGTTTGAAGTTTGTTATACATAACAATACCAGTCCTACCAACCCTGCGTAAAGTTTGCGACGTTGCCAAGATTTATGCCAGGTTTTTAAAAAATTAATTAAACAGAACGTATATTATTTGTGTAATGAGAAAAGATTCTTACCTATTTTTACAACTTATATAAACGTATTTTTCTAATTATAATGTAAATAAATGATTATTTCAATCAAAAATAAGAGGAAATATTTTTTTCAGTTGTAAACTTGCGAACTTTTACATGGAGGTAATGGGAACAATCCCCTTACTCCGTACCACCTCCGCGACAATCCTTAACATCATCCGCATAAAAAAAAACTCGTAAGGTCTTCCTCGTCAAACACCACATCGTCAGAAGGAAATGAAGGGCCAAGTGAAACCAACAAATCAGCAGAAGCCATCCAGTTATCGGAAATCGAATTATCCACCTGTCAGGAATCACGCAGCAAGTTATTCTTACAAGAGACGTCGTTAAATTCTTCGGTAGGTATTTTTCCAGGTCATCTTAAACAATTTTTGCCCATATGGAAAGAAATTTTTTCTGATAAAGTTGTCTCAAAATGGCTTAAGGGTTATGTCATTTCATTTGATATTGCCAAATCCAAATGAACTTCATTTCCCTAACTTCATTTTTCAAGCTAATTATAATGTTTACTATTTTATGAATTGTGGAGCTTGAATCCGAGTTCTCTAAAGGATTTTTGAGTTTGTCAATCACCCTCAGAGAATCCGTACAAATCAATGCTTTGTCAACTTGAGTGACCTTGACATAATTTATAGCATGATGGATTACTGTGATCTCTGTGACCTGTGACGTGTAGCAGCCAAGCAGTCTCGTTCCCTGTCGGAAATTCTTGCATGGAACAAAGAAGCTAGTGCTCGCCCTATCCCTCGTCTAGAGTATGAGCCATCCGTATATATGGCCTCACAGTCAGGGTAATTATTATTTATATAGTCCACAAATTTCATCTCCGCATCCTGCTCCACTCTAAAATCAAACCCTACCTCTGTATTGCATATGTCGTTAAGCTCAAAGTTCAGCTCACAATCAGACCAGTCTCTGTCGAAGTAGGCTAGACGTTGCGCTTTCAACATTCCTCCAAGAACTGTTTCTAAAGGGTCCATGGACTGTACCGGAGCAACTTTTTTGATGTTTTTTTGCGGATTCTTTAAACTGCAGTTCTTTTCCACCAGACCCTTTAATTTAGGACAATAGTGTTGTCTGACCAGCTTGCCGTGCGTATAATGTTTTTGTTACTAGTAGGCTCGCCTGAGACCAAGGGTTGTTACCCCAGTTTCAGAGAGAAGGATTGGTTGAATTTTGAGGCATTTAAACGGTAACTTATGGATTGTTTCATAAGAGATTTTATCAATACCTGGCGCCGATTTCTTTTTGCAACGTTTTAGAGCTGTATAAAATTCTCTCCGAGAGAACTATCTGTTATAAGGATTATTCTCGTCAATGTTAGCTATAAGATCTATTGTAATTGGTTCAATTTCTGATCTAACCATTTCATCCTGAAGGGCCTTATATTTCGAGGAGTTCGGATCGTTTGTTGAGCTAATGTTTTTTGTTTTTTTCCCTACAAAGGCTCTAATCAATCCCCATACCCTAATAATACCCATTTTTGGAGAAATTGACTCGCAGAGTTCTTTGAAGGATACTTTTTTTTGCTTTGAGAGGACCTCAATAGTTATGTTTTCTGTGTGTATGAATAACTCCTGATTTTCTTTGCTGGGATTTAGATGGTACGCTTTCCTAGCCATTTTTTTATGAAGAGCTTCTTCGCACTCCGCAGACCAACATGAGGGCTTGACCTTTGAGATCATATTTTTTGTTTTTGGTGTGTAGGCTCTTGACTGAATCAAGCTCTCGGTGATTGTTGATTCAATCGACCGGTATTTCCCCAAGCAGTCCTCTTCTCCGTTTTCTAGATCTGAGAATCGCTTACAATCAGATCGTCAAACTTCCTCCAGTCAACCTTATCTGTACGCAATCTGTACGAGCTTTCACATACATCTTCCGGTTTCAATGCTATAGTTAAGATCACAGGAAGGTGATTACTGACAAAAGACTCGTCCAGAGTCATCGACTGGCAAATCGATGTTTTTGCTACCTATGTACTACATAGACTATATACGTAAAATGTGAATATGAAATTCAACAAATCATTTGCAGTCAATTTCTGCCTAAAAATTGACCTCAATAAAAATATATATTCTTTTATGTTTCTGTGTAATTGAAAAGTGATGTACAAGTAAATATATTTAATATTTGTATACAAGAAAATGTACATGTTCTAGTACAGTTCATTTAAAAAAATTTTGAGATTTTAATAATTTAGAATCATTAAAACCTTTTACTTATGCATGCCAAAAATTATTGCGCAGCTGTAAAGTCCTTAGAAAACTACTGCGCAGCCTTTAAAGTTTTTAATTTTTCCTAAACGAAGAACCTGTACAAGAACATGTACATTTTCTTGTATACAAATATTAAATATATTAGATATATTTTATATAGAAATACTATATTTATCGCTGATTAAGAATTTTGAAAATTACGAAATTGAAGAATTCGACTTTATCAGCAAAGTGACATCTATTAGATGTCATTAAAACTCCTTGGTTCAGAGTTAGGTGTTTCATGTGATAATTATATCGATATGATTTGTCGACAAATAATTATCAATTTTTGAATTAATTTTGATCTGAAAAAATAAGCTGCGTGCTCGAGTACACTGTGCATCTGTGAGGACTCGAACCTCCTTAGTTGCTGCCTAACGCGGGACTTCTGCCAACTAATGCACCATGCCAACACAGCCTGAACGACCAAGCTTCTTATATTCTCAGATCAAGCCCATAACTAGTCAAGAGCTATAGTTAATGTTAGATATATTTTATATAGAAATACTATATTTATCGCTGATTAAGAACGAGTTCGAGTCCTCACAGATGCACAGTGTACTCGAGCACGCAGCTTATTTTTTCAGATCAAAATTAATTCAAAAATTGATAATTATTTGTCGACAAATCATATCGATATAATTATCACATGAAACACCTAACTCTGAACCAAGGAGTTTTAATGACATCTAATAGATGTCACTTTGCTGATAAAGTCGAATTCTTCAATTTCGTAATTTTCAAATATTAAATATATTTACTTGTACAAGATCTTGTACAAGTTCTGGTGCCGAAATTGTACAAGATCTTGTACATGTTCTCACCAGAACAGGTACAAGTTCAGCTCCTGAACTGAAATATATATGTAAGTTAGGTTTAGATTATATACGTCATAATTCGTAAATGTGTGTAGTTTTAAAGTGTAAAAAAACATCCAACTGTGCAACGAGAAAGTGTATTCATTCTGTGTCAATTCGTGTTGGAAATTACCAATGATTGCAGAAAAAAATAAATTTTTTTTCTCACATATCGGTCTCACCATTTTAATGAACATTCATTAAAGGTTCATCAATTCTTTTTAAATAGTAACACAGACTTTTAATCTTTAAACGATTTTATGCTTCGTCTTAAAGTGACAAAGTAGTCTCTTAATGATTCACAGACTTTTTTTCGTGTACAAACTTATTAAAACTAACTAGAAATTTGAAAGTGCTTATGTAAACAAAACTCCAGTTTTCACTGAAAAGTTGATATTGCCAGTAATTGAAAGAAGCTTTTAATGCATAATTACCCTTCTAAGTGCTATCGTATTTCCACAACACCAAAGAACACCACCGCTTATTTCTGAGGGAATGTTATGTTTGTTTAGAACTTGTCGGAAGTCAGCAAGCTTCAATTCATTTATAAATGTCGTTTGGTGACCAGGTACCTAGTAAAACAAAACATAGCATAACTTTTTTACTTAAAGTTTTTAGATGAAAGAAAATTATGTTTAGGGAAACTGTGGGTATTGCTGTGCGTGATGGTATTACTGTCATTTAAAAAAAATTATTATTATATATAATTTATAAATATATTTTTTTTTCAAAATGATTACAAAATTTATTATAAATCTTACTTAATGGAATAGTCAATAAAAATGTGCATTTCATCAATTGGTTATTTAATTATTTATATTTAAAATTGATTATGATTGAATTCCATGAAATTATCAAATATGGCTGCCGTGAACACTTATTCGAAAGCGTTAATATTTTCAATATTTTCAATAATATACACAATTCAGTGTTATTACTCAATTAAGTATGCTTCAATGTTTTAAAAAAATACTAATTTATCTTTATATTATTTATTTATAATTAATATTTCTTATAACTGTATTACCAGCAATAATTTCACTGCTTGTTGGCATTACTGTCATTTTTAAATACGTTAACTGCGCAACTCGCCGCAAAGGTAACCTAATCTTTTTGTTGACGCTTCTCTAACCTCCATTCTCATGGACAGCTTAATTAATTAATTTCTAGTTAAGTAAAAAGAAAAATGGATAGTGAAAAAAAGAAAAACGAACGAAAAAGACAAGAATTTCGTATTCAAAAGAAACCTTAGCTCTCGCTCTCGAGGAACTTCGACACGGGAATTCTTGTGACATGCGCAGCTCGACATGCAGCTCGATTTTAACAGTAATGCCGGCACAGTAATTGCCGTTTTGTTAGTAATTACCGCACAGAAATACCGACATTTTAACAGTAACACACGCATTTGCCATTATTTTTTAAATGGATGTTTTAAATAAAAAAAGTGCCAAACTAATCTCGAGTTTAATGATTAAATAAATTTAATAATTAAACTTTTATCTACAATTGGAATAACAACATTTGATGTATTTTTGAGGTTAAATTGAGCTTTGCAAAGTTAGCATATACAAAAAAAGCACAGTAATACCCACAGTTACCCTAATTCTTGAATATAATTTTAAAATTTTGCAAAAAATAAAGTATTTTCCTAAACGTTACACGGAAAGAAATAGATGGTACGGGATACTATCCAGATACATGGAGAAAATCTGAAAACACTGGCTACTGTGTAAACCAAACAATTAAATTCCAGAGTTCTGAAAGTTCTCCACACAGCACTGAATGCTCTGCAGAAAATAATCACAATTTTTTTGACAGTAATCAGAGTTTTGTTTCATATTAGTTAACAGCAGATTATTCAGAGCTACGAATGTAGCAATAAATTCTTTGCGCGAAGTCGTGACTGCCACGGTGTGCCTGAACCAACTTTAAATGACAACTTTTTTTACTTCGAATTTTTTTCTTGCATTCGATTCAGGAGCTTAAAAATAGTGTGGAAAATAATTTTTAGCAAAATCCATCGAGTTGTTTTTAAAAAAAATTATTTTTTGTGTCAAAAAATCGTTTTTTGAGAAATTCAATGTGATAAATAAGCGGTATTTCAATTAATTAATTAATATAATATTCTGTATGGGTAAAATCATTTATAAAATGTTTACCAATATCAAAGGAAAAATAAAAAAATATTTTTTTATTTCTATTTTGCATATTATATGTTTCGAACATCAACATTTTTGAAGCAAGAAGCTTCCAAATTAAGTTTTTCAAAATTTACCTATATTGCGTTACGTTAGGCACATATTAAACAAAAGAAAGATGAAAAAATTTGTATTCTTCCACTTTTACGTCAGTGAGGTTATGAGTTTTCCTAGGAAAACATGTTTTCAAAGCTCACATCTCTGAGTACTGTGTAGAATTATTTTTTAGAATTTAGAAAACAAAGGAACGTTTAACGTCAATTAAAAAGAAGATAGCCATGGTTATTTTTTCTTGTCAAATATTGATTTTAATTGGCATGTTTATAAACAGTTGAATGAATAACAGAAATGAAGACTTTAAAATGTCTTTTTAAAAACTATCGGTTTTTAAAAATTTGTTTAGTTATACATCAAATAAAATTATTATATTATAATGAAATAATAAATAATTATTTTTAAAATAAATTATTATAGGTAAATTTTAAATATTTATTTGTATTTCACAAGTTTTGAGATTTTAAGATTTCTTAGCTAATATCAAATTACAACCTAATCTAAATTTGTGACGCGACGCGAAGAAAGGTACCTAAGAAGCCAAACGGCAATTGTACAGGAGAGGGAAAAGAACAAGCGAGAACGCGGCGCAGAATTTCCGATATCTCTTACTCTCTCTCGTTTCCCACTACTAATTCGAGTAAGCGTCTGTGTATTCGGCCGTCTTCGGCAAGTAAAGAGAGATGCACCTCGTACACGTGCTTTCGTAGTGAGAGAGAACGGTGTAGTCAGCGCATCTCTCTCTAAATCACGAATACCGACCCGAACTTCAAGTGGCGCATGGTTACAGTGAGAGGGGAGCGTAGGTATGTGTGCGTGAGGAAAAAGAGAATCAACTCTTAGCACGAATTGTTCATCTTTAAATCGTTATTACAAGAAAAGTATTAGATAAAAATTAATTTTGACTTCAGATAATTGAAAAGCAATCTTTAGTTTATCGAAAACAATCATAATCCGAAAATCGATTTTTGCCTTCTTAGGTACCTTTCTTTGCGTCGCGTCACATTTATAGATAATTATGATTAAAAAATAATAAGTTTCAACATTATTATTTTAAATATTTATCTCGTGAAGTAAAAAAAATTATTATTTCTTACGTTTATTAATAAAAAGTAATTTGTTCAATATTATTAAAGTTTATTGCTTCTTATTTAATTAAATATAAATAATTTTAGTCAAATAATATGTTTTTCATAAAAATATTAGAAAACATCTAAAATTGATTAAAATTGTCTTGAACGCTTGCTTAAAATTGTTGTCTATTTTTTATTAAAGGTTTAATGTTCTTTTATTTCTTCAATCCTAAAAAATAATTCTACACAGTACTCAGAGCTGTGAGAACAGCAGTCACGACTTCAAGCAAAGAATTTATTGCTACATTCGTGGCTTTCAATAATATGTTATCAACTAATATAAAACAAAACTCTGATTACTGTCAAAAAAAGTTGTGATTATTTTCTGCAGAGCATTCAGTGTTGTGTGGAGAACTTTCAGAACTCTGGAATTTAATTTTTTGGTTTACACAGTAGCCAGTGCTGTGAGAAAAAATACTCAGTGCTTTCAGATTTTCTCCGTGTAGTATCAGCTACAATATTTGATTTTACATATACGGACAGCCATTTAGATTCTATCAGTTACTATCCAGATTGTACGGAGTAACATCTTGACTGTAGTGGGTAACATAACCATATTTTTTATCATCTTTGATGATACCGAGTAGCATAATGATGGCATCGGATAATATCTACTTTTAACCGTCAAGATCATACCATCCATTTCTCTCAGTGTATGACCAGTCAGAAATATAAACAGAAAATTAAAGAAAAGTGATAAGAGAGCAAAGCAACGGCAAACAATATTTATAGTGTCGATATGAATCAGTGCGAATTAGGAAGAGAGAATCCTCTGATTATGAATCTGACAGTTTTAAATTAAGAACGTTTGGAATGTAAGAATTACTAAGTCTAATTCATTTTAATCAAAAGGAATTAAAACAGATTAAAATGTTTCGAAATATGATCAACATTAATGCTTTCTACTCAAAGCAATGTTTATTTGAACTCTAATAAACCTTTTCTTGTAGGGTTTTTACCAGGAATAGTTGTCAAATATTATAAGTGGATTCTTAATATAATTAAAATAATAACTAGGGAATTATATTTTCTTTTACTCGCCTTCACCCGACACTATGAGGCTGGCTACACCGAGAGCCAACCAAAGTTCGCTGGCTTTGGCGACCACCATGGAGTAGTATAAGGAGACCGAACGACGTACATTGAAAGTGGACCAAATTTTGGTAACCGCTTAGTGTCATGAAAATACGTAATGGAATACAAGCGCTCTCGTGGGAAGTATGTAAACAGTAAGAAAAATTAGAAGTACGTTGAACATACCCCAAAAATACATTGCTCCTTATTTTTAAAACTTTTACAATGGCTGACTGTCCAGCTGAGTTTAACACAATCAGTGGCGCTAGTGTTCCATTACTTATTTTCATGACACTAAGCGGTTACCAAAATTTGGTCCACTTTTAACGCAGATTTAACATGTTCGTTCGGTCTCCTTATACTACTCCATGGCGACCACGCAATCGCCTTTTCTAATCTAACTTTTCTAACCTGTCGCAACCATGGTCGCAGATGTGCACAAACATTCTGCGCAGACGCAAAATTTAGCCCACTTTAGTACGCCAGAGGATTAAATTTAACCCTCCTGATTGGCTCTCGGTGTAGCCAGCCTCTATCTCACATTTTTTTTGTAATTTTTAATTGCATCATGTTCTGTTTTTTTTACTAAATTTCATTTCATTTGAACCAGTCTTTTAATTTAAATTAAAACCAAACGGAAAAATTTTAGATAAAATTTTATTTATAATTGGCCAACTCGATTTAAATTATATTGAGCAGATTAAACAAACAAATATTTTAATTGATGTAAACTTACTTCATTAAGTGGCAAAGGTTCTAAAGTTAGAATTTGCTCTGAATTAACTTCACCATTGGAAACAGCATCTTGACAAATCTGATTTCGTGCTGTGATCATCGCATCTACCCATGCTACTTCTGTTTCTCCTTTAGCTTTTGAAAATACCAAACCGCTTACCAAAGCGTCAGTCAGTCGAACCTGAAAACATATATAATGTAAATAGAAATTAAATTATATTTTTTGAATAAAAACACAAATATATTATATATATATATATATTCACGAAAAAATTTGATAAAATAAATTACACACCTGATAAATATGAGTTTCAGTTGTAGCGTCAATAATTTCTCCCCTATTAGGAGTGAAAACTCTTGCTCCTACATTTTCTGCTTGCTTAGCAAGAATTTCAGTATCTCTGGCTGAGCCTCGTACTAAAACTACTCTTCTTGGTTTTAATTGAGCTAAAATCTTTTGCAACGATTCGCCATCAGATCTTCCCTCAAAATCAATGTACGTAACTGATGCATTTACGACAACATTTCGTATTGTTGAAACACATTTAGTTGGAATATCTGTACCAGAATCTGGATGTTGTACAGCTTCTTCTGATTTTATTTCAACATTTTCTTTATTATCTTCCGTTTCAGTTTCAGTCTTTTCAACAACTTTGTAATCTTCAGATCTAAACAATACATATACAAGTTAACAGTGACGTTCAAAAAACATAGTGGATTTCATGGCTTTGTGTATTGACGAATTATTTATTTTGCTTATGAAGTCGACACGAGTAAAGCCGAAGTCTCATGGTAACGTTTTACGTTTTCTCGATTAGAACATTTTAAATAAAACTAATAACATTAAAACTTTCTTATCTGTTCTGAGGAAGACGGCTATGAGTTACAAAAAATATATTAGTAAAATTATTATAGAACATTGTTACCCTTTTGTTCTATAACTCCTACAAGTTATTGCTTGAATAATATTTGTAGAACAATATTCTTTAAATTTTACATATAGAACGTGTTTGCTGGGATATTTAATAATAGAATCCTCATATTATAGATCCTAGTTAAAAAATAATCTGCAAATTATTCGATACTTAGATTCTAGTAGAATCCTAATAGAGCCTACTAGAAAGTAAATAAATAAATTACTGAAGGGGAATACAAATTGAAACGTAATAGAAAATGTTTAATACTATAAATACATAAAAGCCTTCCATCCCTTAATGTATAATATAATATTTTTTTGTTTGTTTTTTGAATAGTGATTCCTACTTAACCCCTCTCACCTTACCCTACTAAATTATTTCCTTCTCCTTTACTTGAAACGTCAAAACAATTAACAAATAACACATTAAAAATATACGTGTATTAAACCAAAAAAGTTACCTTATAATTTCTCCATACTCGTCGCTTTTAATTTTATCTTCATGGAAGGGAAACATCGGATACTGCTTTTTACTTTGTTTAAAAAACCCAGGTTTGGATTCTAATTTTACTAGTAAATCATGTTTGCCTTTTCCACCTCCAACTTCTATTTCGTCCTCTGATTCTGAACTAATGTCTGCAGTTTCCCTAAAAATTAAAAACAATCATTCCAAGCAAATCAAATTTATCTTATGTAAAATTTTATTAATTGATAAAGATCAGAATTAAAAAGTAAATAAATACATATTTTAAAAAATGTATTACATCTGTTCTTGCTTGAGTTGTTCTTGTTTAATTTTTTCTTTTTTTAAATGTTCTTCTAATTCAACTCCTTCCAATTTAACACGTTTCTTTATTTCAAGTGATAAAGTTCTATTTCCTCCCATTTCCACTAAATCTCTTGCTAATGTTCCAGGTGATGTTCTATTAGTTATAATAATACTATTTTGCGGATTTGAACACCATTGAAGGAAGAGTTCTCGTGAAAATCCGCATTCCATATCAGGTGTGCTAGCTAGAACTACCTACATAATAAAAATATAAAAATAAAATGAAAATTTCATATGACCCACAAGTTTTTGATGTGCAAAATTTACAAGCATTGTAAATCAATACTTGTGACTGAAATAATTGTGATAATCTGTTTTACCACTTAATTTTTTTCTTACTTTTGGATTAGGAACTTGACTTAATTCTGCCATGCTATGACACAATTGCAGATGTTTAAATTGAAAAGGATTATTCCTCGCGCCCTCAAAACTCCTCATCAATTTATCGCTCATCCACTCGATTTGAGATTTAGCAAACTCGACAACATTATAGCTAACATTATTTAAAAGAGCTAGTGAATATGCCAGTAAGCCTGAGTCTTTATTTCTCCAGAGTTGATCCAACATATGAGCAAGTTCTAAAACTCTACCAGCAGTATCAACGCCAACCAAAACATTACCACCTCCTCGCAAAGTCTGCAAAATATTTGCTGAAAGCAAATTATTGTTAAAAAGAAATAACTCTTTACTTGAGCCTATAAACTTTTATTTGACTTGATTTTTTCAAACTAGTTACTTTTATATCCATTTTTAACGGAATTTCAGTTAGTTAAAACAACCTTTTCTTGCTAAACGCTGTAATACGTTAAAATGCGTTATCACTAATCTGAATCCCCCTGCAGGGGTTCTAATTAAAAAATCAATAAATTCTGACATTACTGAGCGGGAAAAAACTAAAAAATTTGGTGTACACCTACTTCATACTTCTAAATAATTCATGAAACTTCAGATAATTCAGGATAATTCATATACTTCAAGTTAATTTAAGATAATTTATAGTAATTCGAGATAATTCAAAGCAATTGAAGGTAATTTATGATAATTCACAATACTTCAAATAATTCAGGATAATTCAACACAAGTGTATACCTTAATTTACAAGTTATTTGTCCCTCGGACATTACATAAAATTATAGAAAAAATCTGATAGGAATTTTAAGAAAAATTTATCTACTTACTCATCAATTTTTCATCTCTGGTTCTTCTTCTGGCTTGTTGATAAGTGGCATTAAAAGCATCTGTGATCAGCAGAGAAGGCCTCTGTAGTCTATCTAATTCACAACCGTTTAAATGTCTTTCTTTTTTATGATTAAAATCAACAGCATAAATTATATCTTCTTCTCCGACTTTCATTATCTTCCAAATAGTACCACCGATCATATGACCTGCAGGAAGTGGTGTCAAAGTCACACCATAACCTTTTCCTTTCATAGAAATACTCTGGTTGTATTTAAGCTGCACAATTTTGTCGAATGCTGCATCAACATCATCCAATGTAAACAAATCAAAATCTTCCATATTATGTCTGGACTGGACAAAAAATGTAAAATTGTTTCAATTTTATTTATATTTATTTCAAATTAATGGTCAATGCTCTTTAATGTAATACTATCAAAAAGAATGATTTAATCTTACTTTGACCACCTTTTCTGTGTCCTCTCTCATCACCCATCTTATTCCATTTACCCACACACATTCTCTACCCATCCATAACATACTTCCATTCTTTCTTTCTACCCAAGCTTGCTCTTTTATTGACCACCTCTACCTTCTCTTCCTCCACGTTTTATCCACATCAATTTACTTCAGACTCCCTACACTGTAAAAAGTATTAAGGGAATTTTACCAAATTAAAAGTAGGCAGGTTTATTACTTAGTTTTAATGTGTCACTTTTACATAAATAAGTGATTGTGCCATATTAAAAATAGCAATATTCCTTTGGTAAAAGTCGTTTGGCGATGGGAAATTTTTATCTGCTGTAGTTTCAGTCATTTGTCATTACGCTACTTTGAAAGAGGGTATACTACATAAAAAAACATTGTTCAAGAATTATTCTCAAATTTATTCAAGAACTGAGGATATGGGAAAAATACCTGAATCGTTGCTGAACCGTAGGTTCAAATATTATTTATTATTTCTCGACAACTTATTAAATTTACAACCAAAAATTCCCGAACTCGTTTAAGAATCGAAAAATATGAACTGCGAGAAAAAAAATTGCCTGCGTGAGTACTTGAACTACAAAGACTCAAGGTATCTGTCTTATGCCGCTCGGCTACAGAAACGTGTTATGTCATTATAGGTGGGAATCATATTTAACGCAAACAGGCGTTCGGGACTTTTTCAGCGCACAGTGACTGAGATATTATAGTCGCGGCGTCAAGAAAACTTATTTTGAATTCATAACAAAAACTCCTGAAAAATTCTTCAATGATTATAGAATTTTCTATAAAAACTAGTAAATTTTTCCCATATCCTCAATTCTTGAATAAATTTGAGAATAATTCTTGAACAAAGTTTTTCCGTGTATTACTACCCCCTTTTTTTACCTCATTAACCACTTCACTAGAGGGGCGTTTCAAATGACGTTCCACGGAGACGCATAAATTATCTCCAAATTTCAAATGACCTAAAACTTAATTGATCTAAATTCAATTGGCCTAAAAATCGTATGAACTAATTATTACTTGGCCTAATTTGTATATGACTCAAGATATGACTTAATTATTATTTATCCTAATCTTTATTCAATCTAATCCTCATTTGTACTAATCGTCATTTGTCCTAATTCTCATTTAGCATAATCTTAATTAAATCTAATTCTTATTGAACGTACTATTTATCAGCCCTAAATCTCACTTGGCCTAAATTTTCTGTAACCTACATTGAGAAAAATTTTTAGCCAGAGCAACCAAACTATTTGTTTGAATCAACAAAAAAATTAGGTTGAGTGTTTTTTGTTGGCATAACAAAAATGTTTAGTTAGTTCAACCAAATTTTTTTCGTTAGGTCAACAAAAATGTTTGGTTGATGCGCAAGAAAAATGGAGGGCAACATTCTTCCCGCATTTGACCACTTGAACACTCGATAGTGGTCCGGCGGGAAGAATTATGCACTGTATATATTTTTGTAAATATTTATCTTGGTTTTATTGTTATTGGTTCTTCGTGTTCTTGGTTTTCTTGATTTTTTTTGGGGGGGGAGTTAGTTTTTTTTCTTTCTTTCTTTTCAGGCCTACCAGAACATCGGTGGGTGGAGCTTAGCTCGGAGACGGAACCTCCACGAGGATCCCGCTGGGTACTTTGTTTCCCTTCTGCTGCTCAAGATTTTCGAATCTTGCACGGGCGAAGGGAAACAAAGATAACCGTCTCTTCCCGGAAGGGCACCCGGTCTTCTTTTAACGCCGCTTTGGTTCCTAAGAGCCTTTACAGCGGCAGTTTTTCCACACCCGCTCCCCATGGTGCATCGATAGTGAGGAGGCTTGCCAAATCACCGCCGTTTCACCATGTTGGTATTGTTTTCGCGGGAAAGTAGATAAGCTTTGATAACATCGGGAGTATAGTCCTTAAGGACCCAGGTATCCCAGTCGGCCTTGTCGACTCTAGCGCAATTCTGTTACTTGTTCGAATATTAATTTAACATAATTCTTAATTGGCCTAATCTTAATGTAACCTAATTCTCTATTGGCCTAATCCTCATTCAATCTAATTCTCACTTGGTTTAAACTTCATTTGTCATCCGCTTATGAACTTAAATTATGTTAAATAAGAATTAAATAATAATTAGCCCCACCAGTGAAGTGGTTAAAAAAAGTGTTATTGCCTAGGATTTTGTAAAATTAAATTACCATCTATAGAAAAATTCTTTTAATACTTTTTACAGTGTACTATTACCCTCTAACCCCTTGAGTGTGGATGACGTGTATACATGTCATGGTCCATACAAGAAAACATCTTAACGTATATTCGAAAAAATTCTTACTCAGGGTTTTTTATGGTCGCTGATCACGATTCTGAAATTAGATTTTCAAAATACTTAGGGTACGGTCACACTATCTCATGCATGCAGAAACATTTGGCCGGTCACACTTCAACGAAATCTAGTGAATGTTTAGTAATTTTCTAGTTACAATCAAAATTTTTGGAAAATTACTAGAAAGTTAATAAACATTCACTAGATTTCGTTGAAGTGTGACCGGCCAAATGTTTCTGCATGCATGCACAGTGCAAGCATGAGATAGTGTGACCGTACCATTAATTTTTGATCCAATGTGGCCACCAAAAATTTTTAAAAAAATTTAAAAATTGATAGATTTGATTAAAAAATTTTACTCAAATAAGGCACGAATGTTAACAGTGCAATTCAGAATTTATTTATTTGTAAGAATGGAATTGTAACGCATATAAGAGATTCTTCATCAATCGCCCCTGCCCAAAAAATCAGAGTTCTGGGATTGGCTTGATACTTTAGTAAATTGTTGTCCTATATGAAAGTTATTGAAGAAGAATCCCTCATATGTGGTTTCTTGAGTATGCTCAGACAAAACTAAATTGGAGTCTCATTTACGTTTAACTCACAAATAATGAATTTTAAGCGAATCCAATAAATTTTATAATAAGTCGTCCACTATATTGGATCCGCCATTTAAAAATTTTAAATACTAATACTGGATTCGTAATCAGCGACCCCAAAAACTCCTTAATACTAAGTGTCATGAAAATTTATTCACGGAAAGATCTTGCACACTTTGGAACCATTTTGTTATATTTTAGCTACACACTAAAGGAGTTAATTTCATTACACTCAAATCTCTATATAAATATTTGAATGTTTCAGATTAAATATAATTAAAATTAGCATCACAAAAGTAATTATTAAGTTAAGTTGTATTTTTTGGGCGTTAGATAGATTTTTAACATTAATAATTTCGTAATATTTTATAAAAAAAGGTTCAATAATAAGTCTATTGATTCGATTTTAAAAATTCTCCAAGTTGTTCACAATAATTTTAAAGTTTCATAAATATTTTTTAATAAATAATCCAAAAAGGCAGGTTTTTCAAAATTTTTCAATTTCAAAATGTTAATAACTCTGGATAAAATAACAGTAGGATTGAGCTGAAATTTTTGTGAAAAACTCAAAAATAGTATAAGGATTCGTTGTCATGTGCAACATTTGGGTAATGTACCCTAAGAGTACGCATTGCCTAAGAATACGCACCATCAAATATCGCAGTATATCTCAATTTATTAGAAATATTATCATCTATTTACTGCATGAAAAGGTTCTATCAGGTACTGCGAATTAAATTTTAATTTTTGAACTCTTCTTAGTTACGACTCTGAGTCAAGGACGAATTTTTCTCAGCTTGACTACTAAATATTGAAAAAAAGAGATCATATATTGTTAAAGAGACTTTTATTAAATAAGAAATTTTATCTTTTTCCCCACATTAGTAGTCAATTTACTAAAAATACATGGTGAGTTTATAAAAATGTGATATAAAAAGTTCCTCCGTATAGTGTTTCCTAAATTTTTCCATTTATGTTGTAATTAGGTGCGAGGAATAGAAAATTAAAAAATAAGTAAACTATTGTTAAAATTACATTACCTGGAACATGTCGTACATAAACATTTGTCCCATTTTGTAAACGGGGATAGTTGCATAAATGGGACAATTAAGACCACATTTTCCAACCAAATACGGCAAAGCTCCCAAATGCAATGGATCAGGATAAGATAAAAGTACTGCATCGATTTGGTTAACGTGCCTAAGTGAAAATAATTCAAAAAAATTAGATACATGAAACTTCATTGCGATTACATGGAAATAATAATTATTATTATAATTCTTGATTAATCGTAGATAATCAAGATTTTATAAGTCTCAATATTCTAATACTGCCGTACAAAGTAGAAAGGTATATAAAAAAATACAAACATTGTTGTTTACGCCTTTTTTACTTTGGACGGCAGAATATTGTAGCAACATTGCAGAAATAATGGTAATATTGAGGAAATCTTGGCAATATTGCTGTAATTTTAAGTGCTGTGGGGCCAAAAATGACTGTCAAATACATTCATTAATTTATTTATTTTTTAAAAGGTGACGTTACTGATTATGATAATCACAGGCCTATTTCTCTAGAAATTTGTATAGCTAAAGTTTTTACATTTCTGCTATTTCTTAGACTCTCTAACTGGACTATTGATAATAATATAATTCTAGAATTTCAATCTGGGTTTCGTAGAAGAAGGGGTTGTATTGACCTCTTCTCCCTTTTATCTGTTATTTAAATTAACCTCAGGCATTCTAAAAGAGCTGTCTTGGCTGCCTTTATTGATTTCAAAAGCGCTTTCCACGATGTGGATCATAATCTATTATGGCACAAGTTACATGAGGTCGGTGCCAGTTCGAAATTTATTAGAATTATTGCTAATTTTTATAACAACGCATTTGCTTCGATTAAATTTAATGATGTGCAATCTAACTTTGTTAAAATTACTCAAGGAGTTTTATAAGGGAAAGTGCTAAGCCCACTTTTATTTTCTATGTTTATCAGAGAACTTCACGTTTTCGAAAAACAGGGGTTAAAACCCCTAAAAATAGCATTTTTGTCATTTTTCAAAAATTGAACAGCTAAAGCCTGACGTGCTACGAACTTCGATGACATCAGAAATTAAAGGCTGAATCGTTCCCTTTGAAATTAGTCCTATGCCAAACTGTTCGCATGTACCCTTAGAGCAGGGGGTGTGTTTATATCTAGGGGTACAAAAAAAATTGTAAACAGAACATAAAAATTTTAAATTCCGTACATTTCAATAAAACTTGGTACGAAGAGGTTTTCGGGGTCACTGAGTACAAATCTGAAGTAAGATTTCAAAATGTCGAATCCAATATGGCGAACATGTTTTATTGAAATATAATGAATTTTTAATTTTTATGTCTGCTATATTAGATCAGCCAGTTTGAATTTTTGAAATTTGACTTCAGATTCGTAATCAGCGACCCCGAAAATCCCTAGGTACTATGTTTTATTGAATAGTTTATTTTATGTTCTGTTCTATTTAAATAATTTTTTGTATTTTTAGACTCCCTGAAGAGGAAATCAGTGTGATTTCGAAACGTTGGAGAAAATATTATTAAAATCCATTTGTCTGAATGTTATCGTTTTTATTATGAAACCAATTTAAATTAATTTGTAATTTTTATTTACATAATTCTTTTTTCTTACAAAAACATGAAATTTTTCTGCATAAGTTAAATCAATCTACAAAAATTTTTAACAAAATAAGACGTTTACTTGAGTTAAATAATTTCTGATTTAAGTTAAATTTCGATTTATTTAAATGAAAAAAATTCTTTTGATGGAAAAAAATTGTTTACTTGGATTAAATAAAGTAGGGGAGAATTGGGCAAGGATAGTTAGTTGCTGTTATGCTTAGACGGCTTGCTCAAAAATCGCGTCATTCATGGTATATTTGCGTCTTAACACCAATAGATGATAGTAAAAATTGGAAGTCAATCTGACACCATTTGCGAAGTCAGGAGTTTATTTTTGTAAAAAGTCTGTTTTGCTAAAATGTCAACGTAGTGTTTATCACATTGTTCTCTATATTAGTGCTTCCGAATATTTATTTACGTAAGCGTTTTCCGGAGTGGAATTTTCTGCTGAACATAAATATCGTATTTATTTTCAAATTAATTCACGTCGTTCCTTAAAATTTAGAAAAAACTGAAATATAGGCTCATGGGGCAAGGATAGTTAGAGCTATTACGACTCGATAAACTCCTGCTATTGCGACTGCAACTTATAAAAAAATGTTTAATTGTTCTTTTTAGGTTGATGTACATAATGGTGGGTAATTATATACGGAAAACGAAACTTATTGACCACGAAATTGGTGATCATCTGAAGAAAATTGGTTAAACCTCAGATTTTAGTTCAGATGAATTTTAATGGAATAATTGATATTCAGAAAATGTTCAAAACATGTTGTTAATACTTGATATATCAATACTGAATAGTCTAAATCCAATAAAATAAAGAAAACGAAAATTTACTAATTTTCTATGACATTTTTAGCATTCGGATTCTTTTAGCTATCCTTGTTCCGGTACTGGGGCAAGGATAGTTAAAATTTTTTATTTACTTTTTCATTCGTATCTCGTAGGGATTGCACTCTACAGCAAAATAATGTGTAGCAAAATTATAGCCAAATAACCAGGCTTTCCAAAAATACTACTCTTTTGCAGATACAAATTCAGGTTTGGTCGCTAGATTCGAAAACGTCTTACCTAACTATTCATACCCCATCCTCCCCTATTTGCCGCAATTAAAGAGGTTTTAGCATCAATTAAAAACAATTAAGGTCAGTTGGGGTAAATGGGGACAAGAGGTTTTGGAACTTAATTTACAGTTTCTTATTCCTTATGACTCCTATAACAGAAATTCACTTGAATTTTTGATTTTTTTCAATTTGGTTAATAATAACAAGCTGTCCCCATTTACCCTGAGTTTTCAAATTTTTGGTGTGAATGGGGACAGCTTGTCATTATTAACCAAATTAACAAAAATCAAAAATTCAAGTTAATTTCTGTTATGGGAGCCATAAGGAATAAGAAAAAATTTTTGTATGATTTTGAAGTCTGTTTTTTTCAAATGCGAGACAAAATACTGAAATAAAAAAAAAATAAAAAAATTTCAATTGGTTCAACTATTATATATCTACTACAAATTTTTTCATCCCTTAATACAGTAATATACTTCAGGAAACTTTATTCTTAAAACATTCTTAGAAAGTATGCTGTCCCCATTTATCCCAAATTTTATGAAATTTTCTAAATTTTGAGGTAAATGGGGACAGTCAGTTTCATGCGTTTAAAACTTATCTAAATTTTTTTCTGCTGCATAAAATTAATCCTGGGAACGTAAATAACAATTAAAAAAAATAAACCCGCAAATATTACCTTTTAAAGGAATAAACTTGCGTAATTTGTGAAAAATAGCGATTTTGTCCCTATTTACCCCAACTGACTCTACTCATGTTGCCCTATCGAAAATTCCGACATCAAAACATAGATTGTAGCCTACATCTGAAACGTTATCTAAATGCATATAGGAAACTATATCGGGAACCATATGGGATGCTATATCGGAAACTATACAGGAATCGATGTTGGAAATTGGGACAGGCAAAGATGTATTTTCCCATATAGTTTCCGATATGGTTTCTACCCAGTTGAAAATTCCGACCTCGTTTACGACGTCGTATTCTAAGTAGTTTGCGACATAGTAAACGACGTAGAAAACGACATAGTAGCAAACTACGTCGTTTACTACGTCGTTTACGATGTTGCAAAAATTATTTTAATATTATTTATTTAGTAATTTAGTAAGTCCAATATCCAATATTAAAAATTTTAATAATAATTTAAAAAATCAATAATTTAAAAAAAATTTATTTTTATTATTTTTTAATAGTTATTATTATTATTTTATTTTTAATATTTAAATTAAAATAAAAAAATGGTCATCAAAATATTAGTGAAACCATTTCATCCAAAAAAGAATTTGTCTCAAATCCAATAAAGGAGAGACATCGGGCAGAAAAAAATTTCGACAAAAAAAAAATTTTCGATCACTGCTTATATACCAATCTAATGGCACCTCAACTGCGAGAAACAGTTATGATGTTCGCCCTCCCTGTGGCGTTGAGCGAACTTAAGTCCAGAGCTGAGCCATCAGCGCAGCGCGGAAACATTTGAAAAATTTGATTTTATTAGATATTTTATTTTATTTTAAATATGACAAATAAGTAACTTAATAAATAATTAATGTCATAAATAATTATTAATAACATAATGTCATACTTAATAATTCGTTAATTAATTATTTTTAACGAAAATTTGACAAAAAAAAAATTTGTTGGACAAAAAAAATATTACCATTAAAAAATAATTTTTTTGTTAAATTTTTTCAAGACAATTATTTGTGACCTAAAAAAATATCACGATGAGAATATAATTAACAAAAAAAATTACTCGTAGCACAGAAAAAATTTCACCATGAGAAAATAATTTTTTTAAAATTTTATTTGTAAAAAATTTATTGGTAGCTCAAAAAAAAATATCACGATGAGAAAATAATTTTTTGTCAAATTTTCTCTGTAAATAAATTAATTAACTAAATAACGTACCGTAAAACGGGGTTATTTCGCTCATTGCGGGTAAATTCGCTCACCCACTTTTATGCTTTATTTCAGCTTTAAAATAAAGTTTAATACATTCATTAGCAGGTAAAAATGTTAAATTTGTTAATAGAAATACTAAATTTTAGTTTTTAATCAAATTTAAAGCAAAAAAATGGGTGAGCGACTTTACCCGCACTGAGCGAAATAACCCTGTTTTACGGTAATTATTAGTTACTTAATTTTTTACAACGAAAATGTAACAAAAAAATATTTGTAGCACAAAAATAATATCAAGATGAGAAATTTAATTATCTTTAAATTTTCTCTGTAAAAAAAATATTTTGTGGCCTAAAAAAATTATCACAAGAAAATAATTTTTTTGTCAAATTTTCTCTCCAAAACAATTAATTCACTAAATACCGTAATAAATCGTTGATTTTTTTTACTACGAAAATTTACCAAAAATTTATTCGTAGCACAAAAGAATATCACAATGATAAAATAATAATTTTTTTTCAAATTTTCTTTGAAAAAAAAAATTTGTGTTTTTAAAAAAAATCACGATGAAAAATAATTTTGTTGTAAAAATTTCTCTGTAAAAAAATTTAACAAAAAAATTATACGTAGCACAAAAAAATATTACGATGAGAAATTTACTTATTTTTAAATTTTCTCAGTAAAAAAATTATTTGTGGCACAAATAAAATATCACGATGAGAAAATAATTTTTTTTGTCAAAATTTCTCTGTAAAAAAAATTAATTAAATAATTATATAATAATAAAATGTTTGGTCTGTCTTTCTGTCCTAACTTGAAGTTGGCCTTTTCTGATTTCACGTGTTTTTTTGAATAGTAATCTTATGACGTGTCAAATTTTCACAATTCTTTTTCTCATTTTTGCCAAAGTTGTATAATTGTGTTTCCAAATTTCGGAATAAGTTTCTTTAAAATTCCAAATTCGAAAATTCAATTCACGAAGCTGAAGTACACAACGTTTACCAACGAAATTTTTTTTAAAGTTGTATATTAATTCAAAAATTGTATATTGATTCAGAATTGTATACAAATACAAAAAATTTATGATGAGAATAAAGATGCGCCAGGAAATTTCGTACAAGATAGTAATTTGAAAAAAATTTATTTTTAAGGTATCAGGGGCCAACGATTACCTATTAAATATTAATTATAAAAACACAGGCCTCGAATCAACTTAAAGACACAAAACAGTCGTTTTAGTCGATTTATATTCCAAAAAAAAGTGGATTTGTTTTTCATTTTAACAAAAATGTTTTACAGATTTTTAAATAAAATTTTTTTTTTTAATAATAATCCTTTTCGAAGGGTTAAAGTTGAAATTTTTAGAAATAATTAAATTTCAAAAGATATTGTTAATTTTCAAACAATTATTAAATTTTACAGAACTAAAAATAATTTATCAAACAATTTTTGGAAAACATTTTTTAAATTTAATTGAATTTTCAAAGATTTAAAATTGAGATTTTTGAAATTAATTGAAACTTTAAGTGTTTTGTAATTAAAATTTTAGATGATTTCACTAAAAATTTATTAGAAAATGCGGACAAAATACAATAATTTGAAAATCATTTTTAATTGAAAAATGGTTTCAGATAGTTGAATTTTCAAAGAATAATAATATTTCAAAAAAAAAAAAAATTTCGATGGAAAATTTTAGAAATTTTAGATGCTTTTAAATTCAAATTATTGAAAATTCAATTAATTTTGAATTCAAATTTTTGAGAATAATGAAATTTTATTTGATTTTAAATTTGGAAAATAATTGAATTTCAGTTCATTTTGAATTGAAAATTTTGGGAAATAATTGAATTTTAATTGAAATTTTGGATAATAATTTAATTTAAGTTCATTTTTGATTGAAAATTTGGATAATTAATTTTGAATAGAAATTTTAGAAAATAATTGAATTTTATTTCATTTTAAATTGAAAACTTGGTAAATAATTAAATTTTAAATTGAAAATTTTGGATAATTATTGAATTTTAATTGATTTTGAATTAAAATTTCGGGTAATAATTGAATTTTATTTTTTTTTGAATTGAAATTTTTAAAAAATAATTCAATTTTATTCTGATATTTTTTTTAAATTATAAACAATTGTTAAATTTCATAAAAATTTTAATTTACAAATAATTTTGATATAATTGAATTTGTGATGTATTTAATTAAAATTATTAAAAATAATTAATTTAGTGAAGAATCATTTTAGTTCATTTGTTAAATAATTGAATTGAAGAAGATCTGAAGAAGATCTACATTTTATACAAAAAAAAATGTATTTTATTTACATTTTTTTCAAATTTAAAAAAAATGTCGCATTTTATTAAAATAAGTCGATAAAAGTCGTATTTTTGAAAAAAGTCGGAAAAAGTCGTATAATCCGAGGCCTGTAAACATATAATTTTCATTATTATCATTTTAATATGTTATAATATTCTAATAAATTAAATTATTATTAATAATATTAATCTTTAATTTCTTTATAACAAATAATTAAATCCTCAATTTGGCGAGCTTGCGCGCGTTTAATTTTGCTAGTTAGCTTAATAATTAGTTAATTAATTTTTTTACTACGAAAATTTAACCTGCTAATAAATGTATTAAACTTTATTTTAAAGCTGAAATAAAGCATAAAAGTGGGTGAGCGAATTTACCCGCAATGAGCGAAATAACCCCGTTTTACGGTACGTTATTTAGTTAATTAATTTATTTACAGAGAAAATTTGACAAAAAATTATTTTCTCATCGTGATATTTTTTTTTGAGCTACCAATAAATTTTTTACAAATAAAATTTTAAAAAAATTATTTTCTCATGGTGAAATTTTTTCTGTGCTACGAGTAATTTTTTTTGTTAATTATATTCTCATCGTGATATTTTTTTAGGTCACAAATAATTGTCTTGAAAAAATTTAACAAAAAAATTATTTTTTAATGGTAATATTTTTTTTGTCCAACAAATTTTTTTTTGTCAAATTTTCGTTAAAAATAATTAATTAACGAATTATTAAGTATGACATTATGTTATTAATAATTATTTATGACATTAATTATTTATTAAGTTACTTATTTGTCATATTTAAAATAAAATAAAATATCTAATAAAATCAAATTTTTCAAATGTTTCCGCGCTGCGCTGATGGCTCAGCTCTGGACTTAAGTTCGCTCAACGCCACAGGGAGGGCGAACATCATAACTGTTTCTCGCAGTTGAGGTGCCATTAGATTGGTATATAAGCAGTGATCGAAAATTTTTTTTTTGTCGAAATTTTTTTCTGCCCGATGTCTCTCCTTTATTGGATTTGAGACAAATTCTTTTTTGGATGAAATGGTTTCACTAATATTTTGATGACCATTTTTTTATTTTAATTTAAATATTAAAAATAAAATAATAATAATAACTATTAAAAAATAATAAAAATAAATTTTTTTTAAATTATTGATTTTTTAAATTATTATTAAAATTTTTAATATTGGATATTGGACTTACTAAATTACTAAATAAATAATATTAAAATAATTTTTGCAACATCGTAAACGACGTAGTAAACGACGTAGTTTGCTACTATGTCGTTTTCTACGTCGTTTACTATGTCGCAAACTACTTAGAATACGACGTCGTAAACGAGGTCGGAATTTTCAACTGGGTAGAAACCATATCGGAAACTATATGGGAAAATACATCTTTGCCTGTCCCAATTTCCAACATCGATTCCTGTATAGTTTCCGATATAGCATCCCATATGGTTCCCGATATAGTTTCCTATATGCATTTAGATAACGTTTCAGATGTAGGCTACAATCTATGTTTTGATGTCGGAATTTTCGATAGGGCAACATGAGTAGAGTCAGTTGGGGTAAATAGGGACAAAATCGCTATTTTTCACAAATTAAAAAACATGCAGTATTTAATGGAATAATTTTCATAAATGATTTAATGCAATTATTAGCTTCAATTATTCCGTTTATTTGATTTAAGTAATTTGTATTTGATACGATAAAATATAATACTTGGGTCTAATAAATATTTATTTGCTTTAATTACTTACATATTTACTGGACAATAGAGAAGTAAATTATTTGCCTGGATCAGGTAATTTTTATTTGATCCAAGTAATTATCTTTTTCAGTGTAGGGTAAAATTGGGTGATGCTTAAGTACAGTTTGTTAATGTTTATGTTAATGTTGATGATTATGTTTTACCTACAATTGTTGAACGATTGTGTGATCAAGCTTTTGCATAACATTTGATTACTTAATATTTATTTTATAGTCATGTTATTGCTTGTAAAAATTTTAGAGTTAAATTAAACAACCAAAAAATACATTTAAAATTTTCCTCTAATTAAACTAAGAGTAAGTTACCTTTTTAATTCTTTTATAAAATCTTGATCAAATTTTTCATCCCATCCACAATCCAATAATATGCGCAGTTCGTCAACTTGTAGAATGTAACATGGCGGAGATTCATCTAAAGCTCCAGAAATTGCATGCAATTTAATAATAGACGTCATAATGAATTCTCTAATGCGGAAAGTTTTCGCATCAAGATATCATAAAATCCTGAAAAAGAGTCAATTTAAAAAAATATGATTATTTTCAAGCGTATATTGATTTTGAGTGTTTTACACAGAAGCAATTTGCTGTGACAGCAAACTATTCGCTACCACAACAAACTTTGCGCGTTAATATAGGCACACCGAATTTTACTGAATGACTGTGACAAAAAATAGTTATTCAGATCAGGCTGTAACTTGCACATAGTTTAACTATGTTAACTAGGGTGTTGAATTTTTTTTTAAATGTAAACTTTAAATTTTTGAAGAGTTGTAATTTTTAAACAATAAGATGGAAAAAACTTTGATCTGTATGTTTTCAAAAGATTTTTCCTGCTCTTTCGAATAGTGAAAAAATTTTAAAAAATTCAAAATTTGATCTCATTTTTTGAAAATCAAAATTTTTTTTCAAAATCGGTAATTGTTTTTTCTTTTTCAAATTTTTTTTATAAATTTTAAAATGTATACTTTCTACACAAAAAAATATGAAAATGTCATCTTTTTCTTCGAGATATTTATTAATTAATTAACGTTAATAAAAAATGAAATATTTAACAAATATTACATTTATAAATAGAAACGATATGCTTATTATTAAGATATTAAATACAGTCACTCTCCGCTACTTGACCAGTTTGAACACGCAACCTGACTAATAAAAGTGTCACTTTTCGTACGCAACAGTGCCGTATGTATACATGGTGTCCAGTTTTCAAATTTTACATGTGTCAATATTCTATTTATTAAAACGCAAATATTTTTGAAAATTAAGTATTTTATCAACGGAAGTAATTATTTTTAATTAATTAAAAACGTTTTATAATATTTTAAATTTTAATGTAAATATGAAAGTTTTAATTAATAATTATTTATTTAGTTATTGATATTTAACAGTAAAAAAATAATTCATTGTTTTTTTACTGATAGGAAATTATTTATAATATTAAGAATTCAAATATAAATTGAATTCATTTTTCGTCCATTTTGTTTCAATTTTTTATTAAGCTGATATAATGAATATTCATTAACATTGTTATTGTTAATTATATATGAATTACAATATAACTGCTATATTACAACGCAACGATATAAATTATCATATTTATAATAATGTTGTAAAGAATATTGTTCCCTATGAGCTATAGTCAAAGTATGCAGCCCTGAAATCGTTCGTTTTTAGTGGTGGGGAAAGCATGTCAGGTTGCGAGTTTGAGAAGGGGGGAAAATTCTGGAAAATAGTCAGGTTGCGGGGATTGCCGGTATTGTATTTTGTTGTATAATCAACTTAGAACCGTACTTTTATAATAATTCAAAAACAGGATCAGCTAAGGTTTTAAATCCATACAGAATTAGATTAAATTCGATTGTCACAATGATCAAATGATCTAATTCTCACTTGGCTTAATCTATATATAAAATAATTCTCATTTGCGCTAAACTTTATTTAAGGAGTAACATCACCCAAACACTTTCAAAAAATCTAATTTTTTTGCTTAAATGATTCCTTAGGATGTTAGAAATAATATCTTATTAGTTTTAAGTCGAAAAAAAAGATATAACTATTTTTAAAAAATAATTTTTGGCGGAAAGACGCAGTGCATAGAAAGAAAATTTAATATGATTTAAAAATGAATTCAGAAAGCGCAGATAATCTTAGAAATTACTAGTTTAAGGTATACGCTGATTGCGAATACGATAGCAGTTTTTAAAAATTCAAAATAGTGGATCCAATATGGTGGACGACAAAATAAAAAATTTAACGGATTTATATGAAACTTGTTGCTACGTGATTTTCGGGGTAGCTGATTAAAATAGATATTTTAGTTGTAGAAACATTTCTAAAACGTTGTAGTGACGATTATAGTAAAACAATTTGTTTTTGCCTAAAACGTTTTAAGATCGTTTTCAACTTTGGATCCGCTATTTTAAATTTTGAAAATTTAACGTCATATTCGTAATTAGCAACTCCAAAAACCCCCGAGTATCAAAGTTCAAGCAAAAGTGCCCACTAAAAAAATGTTTGCCATATTGGATCCGCCATCTTGAATTTTATAGAAAAAATTAAAAATTGACGTAATATTCGTAATCAGCAACCCAGAAAACCCCCTAGCAACAAGTTTCATATAAATCCGTTAAATTTTTAATTCTGTCGTCCGCTATATTTTATCCGTCATTTTGAAATTTTCAAAACTGACATCAGATTCGTAATCAGCGCCTCCGAAAATCCCCGAGTAGGTTTTGGTTTTGGTTGAAGTGATGTAAAGGCGACATTTTGAAAAAATTTTAAAATTTTAATATCTGCGAAACATATAAATATAATAGTTCTGCAAAAATAAATAAATTAAAATATTTTGGCACTCATCTTGTAGGGTTTTTTTCTTTATTTTTGAATAACATTTCCCAAACATAAGTAGGCATGGTCGACCATGTCCAGGCTTTGTCGCAGTTCCTTGAACTTTATTAAAAATACTCGGGCAATGTTGACAACGGCCAGTCACTTAGGGCATTGTCCACTTTGCCCAATAATAATTTTAACAAGGATACAACTTAACCTCAAAAAGTAATATTAATTTTACCTGGTTTACAATTCATTTAAAATCGAACTGATTTAAAATATCTTAAAAAACAATTATGAGCCTTATTAAGTTATTTAATTAGCCTAAAATGTATTAATTTGAAATTTTTAGAAATCAATTATTCTTAACATAAAAAAGTTCAGTAATTGTAATGAAATTCCTATAATAATAATAATAATTTTTCAGCAACTTTTTAAAAAGTATTTACAGAATAATGTAGTTAACAGTTTCCATGTAGTTAAATTTGAAGAAATAAAATATTTTACTTTATTTTATAAACAAAAAAATAAATTTTGCACCATTATTTTTTTCTATAAAGTTTAAAATTTTGTCCAAAATGAATTGTATTGATATCAAAAACAATTATTACTAATTATAAGATTTTTCTAAACATGTGTCGCTAAGAATGTAGATGAAATGTAATGGATTGACTTCAAATATTGTGCAAAACGTAATATTAATATTTATTTTATAATTATTTAATTTAAAGAGAAAAACAAAAAATAATGCAAAATATTTAGTTTTATTTGCGATTAACTACTTTGAATTATTTTTAAAAATAATATACAAATGTGTATATTATTTGTTAGATTAAATAAATAAATAACGTCTTTTGGCTATACATATGTTGCCATTTTTTAAATAATTATTTAATTAAATTTTGAGGTGCAATTTTTTAAAACCAGATGAATCCATTTTTCATAAAATTGAGATAAACACAGATTCAGGATATTAAGAATCGATTTGTCAAAGTTGAATTTAAAAAAAAAATTATTATCAAAGAATTTTCAATTTTAAAAACATTTGGGCCTAACCTAGATGATTTGTAATTTTTATTGTTTTATTGGAGAAAATAACCTAAACCTTTAAATTCCTTTATTATAAAGGAATATAAATAATAAATAATTTATTAAAAATTTTTACATTAAAGTTAACTTTAGTGATTATGTGAAAAATGCCATTTGTTTAAATTTCTCGAAATGACAAAATATGGATTTATCAAATTTTTAAAAAATTGCTCCAAATAAATTAATTATTTTAATCAACTTTCTAAAGGTAGGAAGTTAGTGTATCTTACACTTTATTTAAAAATATTATTTAATTATTATTTTTTTTATTTAGCTAGCTTAGTTATATTTAGTCCTTTATGTTTTAATTAACACGCTGTCAAATAATCATATAATTTTATTGTCAGTTAACTGGCCAAATAGTTACTCCGAAATCAATAAGTAATATAAAAATATACTCACAAGAAAAAAAATTATTATTATTATTCTGTAATTAAATATTATTGAGATGAAAAATAACTACTCTTAATACAGAGAATCGATGTTTTGATTTAACATCAACAAAAACTTATGAATCTCTCATTAGAATGTACTTGTAGGTTAGATTTGTTTTGGTTAAAGAAAAGGTTATCGATGACTGCAGACTGCAGTAGAATATCCGAAATACTAAACTTTTTGTGAAGGCCTTTCTCCAATAGGAACCTAAACTTTTGCGTTGCGTGACTGACGCGTTGATTTTAGCATTGGTTGCCAATAGCAACCGACGCAATGCATACGCAACGCAAGAGTTTAGGATCTTATTGGAGAAACGCCTTGAAAGGGCATTTATACGGAAGCTTCTACGCGCCACCACAAAACCAAGTTTATGCTCGATTCATTTTAGCCTCGAAAACTAAAGAACCGTTTGTGATTTCGCTGTTTCCATGTTTTTGACGTGTAAAACCGCGAGGTGGTTCGGGTGTTCGGTCGTTCGCACGTTCGCAGATTCGACAATTTGTCCAAAATCGTGTAACATTGTCTTTTTAGTTATATTTATAGATAAAAGTAAATAAGTTGATATTTGAATTCCTAAATTTTATGTAAGATTTTATGATGTCCGCAATTAAGTAAAGTTTTTGCTTTTATTTTGAGTAGAGAATATCGTTATTTTGAGGTGGATTGGTGTTTTTCTTTGTTATCTATGTAATAATAAATATAAATAAATAATCGATTTCTTTTAATATAAGGTTATGTAGTATGTATGCACGTGAGATTTTACATAATAATTGTCCTTCCTTTTCACATGTTTATCTTATATTATTTACAATAATATATAATGCTCAGAGAGAAGCAATTATTTAATAGGATGTTAATAATCCTGTGTAATTTCGTGCGGGCTTTTTTTATTTCTATGTAAAGTCATCCCGCCAAGAAATTGCTTTTTGACATCTTTAGAATTTGATAAGCATGATAAACAACGCTTCCAAATAAACAAAGTTTTATGAAGAGGGATCAGTCCAAATTATTTTGAAACATATGTTGTTTTTTAATACTTAATATAATATTGAATGTAACTAACAAATTTTTGATATTCAACAATCACTGACACATAAATTTATGTACAAATTTTTTACAAAAATGAATGTCTGGCTGAATGTCTGTCTGAATTGCTAAAGTCTTTTTTATGAATTTCAGCTAATTTATAAAACTTTTTTATTATATATAGTACATGATATATTTCCTTTTGTAAATAAAAAAAGACGCATGTACATCTTACTTGAAAATGAGATTCTTTTAAATTTACAAAATTTACGAATAATGCGAGATTTCATTACAAATAAAAGAAAAAGAAAATTGTAACTCTTAAGAGAAGTTACTTAACAAAAGAATAAGAATTATTAGGACATATAATTACATGTGAATACTTTTTTGGACATTTTATTTCTAAATTAATACAATAAATAACTATCAATTCAAAAAAAAATTATTTTATATGATATGACCAATCCACCTCAAAATAACGATATTTTCTACTCAAAATAAAAGCAAAAACTTTATTTAATTGCGGACATCATAAAATCTTACATAAAATTTAGGAATTCAAATATCAACTTATTTACTTTTATCTATAAATATAACTAAAAAGACAATGTTACACGATTTTGGACAAATTGTCGAATCTGCGAACGACCGAACACCCGAACCACCTCGCGGTTTTTCACGTCAAAAACATGGAAACAGCGAAATCACAAACGGTTCTTTAGTTTTCGAGGCTAAAATGAATCGAGCATAAACTTGGTTTTGTGGTGGCGCGTAGAAGCTTCTGTACCTTAATGGTGTATACACGAAGTAGTATAAGGAGATATATCTACGGAAGCCTGTACGGCTCACGGCGTCTCGGATGCAAGTGGCGGTGTTTCGTACCACAAGTGGCACGAAGTCCGTCCAACTTGTGGCAAGTTCGTTAGTTCGTGCCACTTGTGGAAAGTGGATTTTTTGAAGGGTCATTCACAAATATGACAATTCCGTTGGATTCTGATGCCGTCTATTTCGTCAGTGCTTTTCATTTCAAGTATAATTTCATCCGGGCAAGTCCGTTTAATGTTTTTGAATAAAAATGAATTTGTTATTTTTTAATTGAAAATATATGTAAAAGATTAAATTTCAGTGTAAACAAATGATATTGACATCTTTATTAATCTTAAATATTCATAAAAATATACTTTTGATTTAAAAAAATAAAATCCTCTTCATGTATTTTAAATTAAAAAATGACAACATAACCAAAAAATCTTATTTTTATTCTAAACTAAGAAAAATTTTAAAAACTTCCGCTTAATTCTTAGTGGAATCCGTAGTTTATTAATATGTATAATAACCTTTGGAAGGAGTATTTATGTGTGAACTATAAAAAGTTTGTTCGATGACATTTACTAATATGCTAATATTACTAATATCTTATAAAATTCATTTCTTCTTCTTCTTCACATGAAATTGAAATGAAAAGCACTGACGAAATAGATAGCAACAGGATCCAACGGAATTGTCATATTTGAGAATGACCCTTCAAAAAATCCACTTTCTACAAGTGGTACGGAGTCTGTCTAAAGGAGCTTCTACAATAGCTCCGTTTGGCAACTCCAACTCCAAGTCCAAGTCGGTTGGAGTTGGTTGCGCACGCATGGTGTTGCCAACTGTCGCCGAGTTGAAAATGAAAAAAAAAATTGTGCGTGATCTCGTGCTCACGAAATAGTTGAGGTTATGTACCTTTGAAGCTGTAAACACGCTGTAAAGTTTAATAAATTATTTGTTGTTGTTGCTGTTGATGTTTCCGCCGTCTCATTGTTTTTAAAGGGAAGAAAAATATAAATTAAATTAAATTTTTCTTTTATAAATAACAAAATTTTTTTCCCCGAATAATACACAGGCATGCAATGAATTTAATATTTGTAATATATAAATATAGTAATAAAGAAATATACAATAAATGAGATGAACTGTCAATACAAAATTTTTTTTGTTTTTTATTGACATTATAATAAAAGTTTTTTATCATTTTGATTTCACAATATATTAAAAAGGTATTGTCATGAACATAACCTTACAATATTTTTTGCTTATTTTAATATTACACCTTAAAAAAAATAATCTTCATTCTAGAGGATTCCTCTAAATGTAATGCATATTTTCCTCTTAATTTTGGTATCAAAAGTAATAATCTTAATTCAGAAGGATTTTCCTCTCGAAAAAATCCTCTTAAAAGAAGAATAATATTCTAATATTTTGACAAGTTGAAAATAACCGTAATACACAGGTTTTGAATAAATTATTAGACAATAATGGTTATGTATATTAATTGATAATAAAGTACAGTTTTGACTCATTGAATTAAATGTTGATATCAAAACCTCAACAAAAAAAATTCCTAGTGTTATATTAATGTCAAGAGAACCAATAATTTTTTTAAATTTGAATAATATAATAAATATTTAATAAGATTCAATTATTTACATTCAAAAAAGGTAAATTATAATAGATTCCTGGAATAAAGAATGAAATATTGGTTTTTAATTAAATATTTCTGAAAAATATTTCTTGCTTTTTGCTGAGCATCAATACATTAGATTTAATTACAATAATAATAAAAAATGCTATAGCTAGTTGCAAATATCAAAGAAGTTCGACGCAAATATTTAAGAAAATTGGTAAGAAATGAAGATTCATCGAGAGGTTATATTTTCTGTATTTATACCTCCATTCAATATATCCACCCAGATTTAAATCATTTAGTAAATCTTCAACTCTCTTTTCCATTTTGGTCTTTCGATTTATAACACAACACTATTATGACATACGAAAATTGACAGTTTCGAAAAACAAAAGCGCAAATGTCAAACAGGAAAAAAATGTAATCGATATCATGTATTTACTTTTCCTTTTTTCAAATATACTAAATTTAAACAGGAAAATCGTAATTGAAGAGGAAAATGCAAAAGTACTCCTTTTGTCATTGTTCCATAAAGAATAAAAATATTCTACAGTCAAATGGAATATTCGTATTTTAAGAGGAAATATTCAGAGGATTTTAGAAGAGGAATTTTCCTCTAAATTTAAGATTACTTTTTTTTGGGTGTAGAGAATGCAGATAATTTTCAAAGTTTAATATTTTATGAATGAATTTTTTCGTCTAAAATTCATTGAATATAATTACTATATGTGATAATTCTTTAAAAAGTTAATTTCTTCATGCGTTGCCATAATATTTTTGTAATCCAATTTCCTGAATTCTCCATTTTTCCATGTAAATAATAACTTTTTCCCTGACATACAGATTTCTTATTAGAAGAAAAAAAAACATTTAAGACTCTACAAACATTTTAAACACTATAATCTAAATACTCTAATCTGAATTTAATTCTGAAAATTACATTAGAATAATATAGTAAAATAATCTGTTAATGAGAATAATGTAATCTTAAGTTAAATTATTTTTAAAAATCGTATTTAATTAAAAATATAATAAATATGTCAACGCACGTTTTCCATTATTTTTCAAATATTTTTAAATTTAATTATTCCATTTTATGATTACGCTCTTCTCATGTGATAAAATGTAAAAATATTGTAAGGTTATGTTCATGAAAATACCTTTTTGATATATTGTGAAATCAAAATGATGAAAAACTTTTATTATAATGTCAATAAAAAACATAAAAAAAAATTTGTATTGACAGTTCATCTTATTAATTGTATATTTTTTTATTACTATATTTATATATTACAAATATTAAATTCATTGCATGTGTGTATTATTCAGGGAAAAAAATTTTGTTATTTATAAAAGAAAAATTTAATTTATATTTTTCTTCTCTTTAAAAAACGATGGGACGGCGGAAACATCAACAGCAACAACAACAAATAATTTATTAAACTTTACAGCGTGTTTACAGCTTCAAAGGTACATAACCTCAACTATTTCGTGAGCACGAGATCACGCACAATTTTTTTTTTCATTTTCAACTCGGCGACAGTTGGCAACACCATGCATGCGCAACCAACTCCAACCGACTTGGACTTGGAGTTGGAGTTGCCAAACGGAGCTATTGTAGAAGCTCCTTAACAAGTGGCACGAACTAACGAACTTGCCACAAGTTGGACGGAAATACGAAACACCGCCACTTGCGTCCGAGACGCTC